TTTCCACTTTATTTTTTTCATTCCTTTTTTTTTTTCATTTCCATTTATTCTTTTTCATTCATTTATACTACCTCTCATTTGTTTTTATTTCATTCCCACTTCATCTTTTTCGTTTCTTTACACTACCCTTCATTACTTTCATTTTTTTCCATTCCCACTTCATCTTTTTCGTTCATTTACACTATCCTTTATTATTTTAATTTTTTTTCATTCCCATTTCATCCTTTCATTTCTTTACACTACCCTTTGTTCCTTTCATTTTTTTATTCCCCCTTTGCTCCATTTTGTCCCCCTTCATTCTTTTCATTTTTTTTTTATTCCCACTTTATCTTTTTCATTCCCTTCGTTCTTTCGCTCTCCCTTTGCTCCATTTCATTCCTCCTTTACTCCCTCTTTGTTTCTTTCATTCCCTTTCACTCCCTATTTTTTTCATTTACTTTCATTCTCTTTTCCCTTTTTCATTCATATATTCTCTTTTCTTTATCATTGTGACTCATTCTTTTTATCATTCCTATCAAAAAATTTAGAATTTTGGATAGTATGAGTTTGTTTTTTTCAATCAATAAATCATGTAATCTATTAAAAATTAATAAATTGTTATAAACTTTTAGTGCAAAAGTATTTTAAGCACATTTATTATACAGTATATTTAAACAAATTTAGCCAATCAAAAAATTTTAAAAAATTTACAGGGGATTTATATGCCAAATTATGAAGTGAGAAATATTAAATTTACACTAATCAAATTTAATAAATTTTTAATAAATTAATCATGACCTGGGTGAAATCACTTTTAGATGATTTTACCCTGAGTGCAAATTAGCAATATTCTTGCACATTCTTTTGGTAAATTTGATTCAATTGCCATAAAATATCTATAGCCATCACGTGAAATTCTGCTTTTATCTATTGCTTTTACAATTGCAACTTCTTTTTTATATTTTAAATCTTGATTTTCTTTTCCATAATCGATATCATATCCTTTACCTTTAATACTAAATTCTATTGATTCCAATAATGGAACATCTTCTGAAAGATAATAGTCATTGGCAATTTCTGAAAATTGTTCTGACATTTTAAATACTATCTTTATTGCTCATTTTGTTAATCCAGAAGTTGTCAACTTACTAACAAGCTTCAAAATCTTTGCATGTAGTTTGACTGATTTCATTTCTTGATATTCTTTTAATTTATTCAGTTGTAATCCAAAAAGTAAAATTCCTGATATTTTTGCTTTATTTTCTGTAAATTTCTACAGAAAAATTATAAATTAATGGTATATTTGAACATATTTATTTAATTATAACTACTTTACCTTATATAACAAATCAGCAGCATTGGTAGCTAACAACTTAAAAAAAACTTGTTCATTAAAGTTTTCACCATATTGTATACAATGTAAAGGCCTATTGTCTTAATATGTAATTATATATTGGATTACTTTATTTTCTTCTACACGTCCTTACCTTATTTGTATTTTGTAACTATCAGAAATAGAATAACGGTTTGATGCATGAGTAACTTGAAGAATCATTTTATCCAGATATTTTTTTACCATAATTATTTTATAGGTAAAACTCTGACTAACTATTCTCTTTTCATTCTTCTGTTTATAAATAATAATTTTATCTTCTGAATAATCTCCAATTTCCTCAACTAGGACCCCAGAAAATTCTTATATATGTAAGGTACTAAGGTGCTTAGCCAACATAGAAGAATTATATAATGTAAGAATTTATCAATGCTTAATTTCGGCAAAATTTTACCCAATGTAAGATAATTGATCTGCATATTTTTAGTATTTTTTTGGAATACTAAGGGGTTTCAGTTGCTTAATTTTATCACGATTTTAATTACTAATTATATAATCACGTGATCTTATATTATTTTATGATACGTAAAATTTTTATATAAGATAATCTCTTTCATCTACAAAGAATTTGATTTACAATCGATAAAAATGACTTTTCATAAATATAGTAAAGAAAGATTATCAAAACATGAGTATTGTGCCTATATAATAAATGCAAAAAAGGTAATTTGCATATGTGGTAAAATAATTAAGCTAAACTGACGATATACTGAAGATTATCTTAATCGACATGTTGCTAATTCTGGATGCAAATCAAAAGAAGGTCAACGTAGTATTTATAATTATTTTAAACCAATTGAAAAAACAAATGAAGATAGTAGAGAAGATGATGAAAACTGGGATTCTGATATTTATGATAATATGGATGAAGATGATTTGTTACAAATAGATGAAATAGAAGATGAAGAAAATGATAATGTTCCTTCATTAATTAATATTAATGAAGATATATCAAATATAACAAAATCTAATAAACGGTTAATTTGTCATGGACTTCAATCTGAACAAATATCAATGTATATTCAACGTACTCCAGTTCAATTTGGAGAAACACGTCGTATTGAAACAATAGCACGAGATCTATTTCCAAATTTAATTTTTAGTAAATTTAGTTAGAAAAGACTTAACTACTCTCAGAAAAGAAAATTAAATCGTGCTTTATTTGCAGAAAGTGTTTGGCAAATTGATCGATCAGGTGAGTTATTAATTTTAATTTTTAATGGTTTAAAAATAAATAATGAACTTACATTATTTTGTATTAGAAAATTGTGTACATGCTAAAACCTGTACAGGATTTGCAGAAAGAAGTAATATTTGTAATGATTGTAACTCACTTCATCTCAATAAAAACCTTTCTAATAAAATTAGGAAAAAAATTCCTTTACCAAGTAATATTAAATTCACACCAAAACACTACTAGGAAGATAATGCATTAAAAAAATATTTGCAAAATGTAGACCTTCGTACTGTTTGGAATTTACTCAATAATGATAGGGAGAATAATACGGCAAACTCTTGGATAACTATAGCTGATTTGGCGTTAAAAGGGGTGTTTAAAGAACAACCAGTATTTATGGGATTATGCGAAGTAATATGTGATGCTGCAGAAAGAAAATCAAAACATATGGGCAAGTAAAATATTAAATATTCAGAAGAATTTACTAGTTTTCTAGTTATTTTAGGAGAAATTAGTTCTAGAGCATTGGATTTATTTAGACAAAACCTAATGATGCGTTTTAAATCATTAAAAGGTTAATTTAGAAGAAAGAAGTATCTAATCAATTCGGTAATTAAATGTCTATTAATACTATACTTCTCCGCTAATTAATTACGTTGTATTTCGGCGAATAGACCAATTCACTATTTATTATAAAATTACTATGAATTAATTACATCTGTCAAAATACATTACGTCTGTCAAAATAAATTTAATTAGTATTTTGTAATTTTGACGAAAAGTATAATTAATACAAATACATTAATATTATCGAACTAATATTATTATTTACTTTTTATTTATTATATTAGATATTTACGTAATAATAATGAAGATCACTTAACTAATCCTGAATTGTGCTTTGAAAATGTAGCACAATTTAAGCGGCTAATTGATACTATTGGTTATGATGGTCCTATAGCAGCAATGACTGACAATACAAAATTGAAAGAAAGGCTACGATATTCACCTATACTTGGTTGCATTATTGGTTCAACTTTGTCAAAAGAAGAAACTATTATAAATGTATATAGTGATATTCCAAGTACTATTAATAAAATTAAGGAAGAAAATGCTATTGCTAAAGATGTTCGTGCATACATATTACAGGTAATAGATTAGAAATTTTTTATTTTTTATATAAAATATTATCATAAAATTTAAAGAATTTTTTTTAATTATTTTAGATTCCATTACCGAAATTTCCTCCAGTAATTGTAGCGTTAATTCCAAATAAAGGATCTGATAGTGCAAATGATATTACACAGCTATATAAAAAATTACTTCAAGAAATTGCTCCTCAATTAGGACTCCATATTCTTTCATTAGGTTCAGATGGCGCAATAGTAGAATTTCGAGCTCAGCAAAATATATTAAATTCTTCAAACACTGAAAGACTTTCTATTTATAATTCTACATTGCATATAAATTTCAGTTGCCCTATTTTTGAATCAATTGGTCCTATAATCCCAGTTCAAGATCCAAAGCATGCAAAAAAAACTGCAAGAAATGCAATAATGTCAGGTGCAAGACTTTTGACCTTTGGAAATTCATCAGTTCGTTACGATCAGCTTCTTGAACAAGTTAATCGCCATGATTCTGTGATTTACAAAAATGATGTAATAAAATTGGATCGGCAAGACGATGGTGCAGCTTACCGGACATTTTGTTCTGCTAATTTAAAACAATTAGTATCACATAATTATCAGTTAAAACCTGAAGATAAAGGTTTTTTTGTTTATTTATTTATTATGGGTATGTATTCAAATAATATAATATATATAATAACTTAGAAAATTATATTAATACGTTATTCTTTTATTCAAATAAGGTGAAATTGTTGATAGTTATCTCAATAGAAATTTGGCACCTTTAGAACGAATTCGTATGTCAATGACTGGATTTTTCTTTTTAAGACTTTGGCGGTTTTACGTTAAACATTTAGCAAAAAAATATTCAGATTTTATTTCTATTCGCAATAACTTTTTAGCCGACCAGACTTTCGCAATTCTTAATTCTTTATGTGAATCAATAGTTCTTTTAGTTAAAGCACATCAAGACTTTTATCCTTTAATTCCACTATTACCTTGGCTTCATGATTCTGAGCCAGTAGAACATTTTTTTGGTATTGCACGTCAAATTAATTCAGATTTTGACTTTGTAGAATTAATTCAAATGGTTCCAAAAATCTCACAACACACTAAGGCTTTAAGAAATGAAAAGTTGAATTTTAATAAAGAAAAATCTGTAAGAGAAGGTCATTTCAGTTTTTTTAAATAATTTACAATTTTATATTATTTTGTTTATTTACATTATTATTTATTTGATTTATTTACATTATTATTTATTTTGTTTATAGGTTATCAATTCGAATGTAACTCTTAAACTCTGATTCTATTGATGATAATTCTTTAGAAATGCTTCGCTTATGGCCTGATGATAATCAAATTCTACAAACCTTAAATAATTCTTATCAACTTGCTCGTGAATTAGCAGAATTTCTTCAAATGCTTCAACCAGTAGAATTGCCTATTGTAATTAATGAGCCAAAAGTAGTAATTATTTTTAATGATAGATATCATAATGAAGAATCACTAAGCATTAATCGTAGATATGAACGTGAAATAGAAAGTGAAACATCTGAAGGTGACGAATCAGATATTCCAGCTGCGTTAAACGAAGCATCTGTAATTATGAAACATGGTTCTGCAGAAATACTTGATAGTGATTATTCTGATCTAATGTTTAATGAAGGACAGTTCCAACTTAAAAGAATTAATGAAAAACCAAATAACTTGTCAATTATCAATGGTGGAGATAGTGGTAAGTTTTATTTTATTTACTTATTCATATTATATTATATATAATTATTAATTATAATTTTTTGTAGTTGATAATGAATACCAATTTCTTTTGGATGATAATCTGAACTTTGAAAATTTAATTCTTCAAAGGTCTCATCATAAAGCTTATTATTCAAAACCTTTAGAACAAAAAATAAAAAAATCAATATCCTCAGGTTTAAATTCATCAAATTCTATTATGCCAAATAAAGCCAGTAATTTGGTCTCTTTCTTTTCAAAAAATGAAGATCCTAATCAACGTTTTGTAACTCAAAGAGAAAAACGATGGAAGGAAAATAGAAATAGTATTTCATTAACTCTTGCTCAATTGCATATTGAGGAATTAGAAAAGTTAAGAAACAAATAGAAGTCAAATAAAAAAAGGTTCCAGCAATCTTTAATCGAAAGTAAGCTATTAAGTTATATTGCGGATTTGTTATTAATTTCAAAAGGATTTAATATTAATAATTCTATAGTTCCAGATATAGAGAATGCTAATGTTTCAAGAGATGTACTATTAATTAAAGGAAACTATGTATTTGTTAAATATGAAAATCAAATGTGTATTAGTCGGATTATGGCTATTTATTATGAAGCTTATTCAAATCATTGTTTTGCCAATGAACCAATAACAATGTTAGATGATATTTCATATATTTCATTGCATGTTTACATCCCTATTCATCTTAATCTTTTTAGTGATATAGTTCAAGAGGGTTGTTATATTTTAACGCATCATTTAGCATCTAATATTTTTTATCATATTTTACCGTCTGGCATTTTAATTGAAGGGAATATCTTAAAATTATTGGGTAATGAAAAAAAATATTATTTTGAATATTTCGGAAGAAAAGATATTATCAAGAAAATCTTATAAAATTATTAATGTAATATGTTTTATTTTTGTTTTAAATTTGATTAATAAAATTTATTGATTCTTAAAGATAAAGCTAATTAATTATAAAAATTCAAAAATAAAAAAATGGAAAATTTTATTAGGTTAGAATATTAAATTGCTTATTTTTGTATGATTTTTGAGATTAAATATCAACAATGCTTAGCAATCATAGTAAAAACCTTTGCTTAGAGCTATTAGTAAAAAATATTTTTGGGACCTTACCTATATAAGGATTTTCTGGGGTCCTCCTCAACTGTTACCATTTGTAAAAATAAAGGTTTACTTTATTTTTTTTAAAAAAAAATTATAGCCATGCATTTTGCCATGAATTATCAGATCATCTATAAATGTACATTTTGTTACATATTAATTATTAATTAAATATGATAGTTTTTTATTGCCAATTATATATATTATGATTATTAGCCAGTCATATCAAATTGATTGACCTATACTATGATTGGTCTACAAATTTGGAGTTATCTCAAAAAATTAGGGTTAGGGTATAGATCGGCAGATATAATTATATATGCTATATATTCGTTGTATGTGACTATTTTGTATATGCATATTATAGATGTATTAATAGTAAGTTGACTGAATCTACTTTTATAAAGTAAGAAAAATTCAAACCGAAAGCTTGAAAGATATAAATTTTGAAATTTGGATCAACTGTCACATTTGAAATGCAATTTTGACCAGGCTTTTGGAAATCTAAAAACAATATCTGTTGCCAGGTAATTTCTATAAATGTGAATTGCTTTGATATGTTTAACAATATTTCTTTTAACAATCCAAAGGGAAAAGTTCAAGCTTAGCGTCAGCATCACAAAAAAATTTGAAGAGGAAATCAGAAAAACAATGAAAAATGGGTCGTAGGGATGACTGGATTCTTAAAAGAGTCAGTAACAGTGTTAAAGATAGGAAAAAGTTGGACTGATAAAAATGGAATGAAAGTTCTCAAAGAGTAAGGATTAAAATTACCTAAAATGTTAAAAGACATGTTTATAAAGTTGATGGATAAAGTAAATTGGGATGTAAAGATGTGTTCAAAAATTCAAACAGTTGGAATGATTCACACTAGTATGTTCTTTCTGTGTCTGCAAAAATAAATCAGTTCATCTAATAGTATCTTTAATTTATAGGAATGATGATTATGACGATTTACATGAACAATCTGAAGGGCTATATATGTAGAGTTCAAAGCAGTAAACCAATGGAGGTTCATGGTGAAGAAAAGAATTTTTCTTCTATTCTGGAAATTCTAGTATCTATTCTGAACATAAAAGTTAGCTTCGAACTTTCTATCAAATAGTTATATATTTAAGTTGATGACTTCATAAATGTTAGGCTGCAATTCAAGAGACAATGAAGGTGATATATGGAAAAAAACAAAAAAAACAATCATTTAAGACAACTGGATTTTGAAAATGACCTAGAGAGGAAAATCAGAATCGACTATTTTCTTGCTTACCAACTCCAAAAAAAGCTAAAGTATGCGTAAAAGCAAATGCAAAGGAATCATATCCATCATCGCCATGTCTTTCTGAACTATTACAATCTGCATTACCATTAATATAATTCTAGGATGGCTTCTTAGGTAACTTTTTCTGATCGTTTTCCAGGTTCCAACAATTTTTCTATAATTTTAATTTTTTCTTTTATATTCCCATTTCCCAGTATTTTTCTTGATTTCTTTAATTTCATTTTCTCTTTTTTCTTTTACTATATCTACCACAATATCTTCTATTCTTTCTTCAATTTCTTCTGTTATTCCAATCATTTCCCATAATTTTTTCTTTTTTCAATTTATTTTCCAGTGAAATCTTGTTTTTATTACTGTTATACGCAATAGTTTATAAGTTTTCATGTAATGTGCATCAAAAAATTCGTTTATACATATCAATAAAGTATCTGTAGTATCTGTTATTTGTTTGTCTGTGTAATACTTTACAGTTCAGAAAAATAAAAAATGCCACGAAAAAATCACATGACTGATCGTTCCCAAGGGAATGGCCTAAAATTTATCCTAGGGACTAAAATTAATTTTAAAAATTTTAAAAATTTTTGAATTTTTAAGATATCTTAAGATCTAGTGATCATAGAAGGATAAAATTATATTTCTTATTAAGGCGCATTTAATGGTAATAAAATCATAACTCTAAAATTGATAAATAAAAGTTATATTAATTTACAAATTTTTAGATTTTATAAATTATCTTGTCACATAATATTTGTAGAAAGACAATTTTATTTCTATCAGATTCTTCTCATTAAGACGCATCAAATGGTGGTAATTTTATATTTCTAGAGTTAATGGATAAGTATATAAGTTAGATATTAATAAAAAGCATTGAGATATCAATAAACTCTGACTTTTTTCCTTATCAAAAGAACTTCCGGAGGAAGCTAAGTGACTCACATTTGTTTTACCATAATTTTGTCCTTTCAACTGATTAAAATCGATCAAGAAATTATTTTTTTTAACTATTATATACCTCACATACTTTATCATTATATATTAATTTTACTAACTAATTTATTAGATTCCATTACATAATGGGATCTGAAATTCTACCAAATTCATTTATATCAGGTTCGGATTTATGATCAGCCAAAATCATCCTAAAAATAAACAAACTAATTCCTTTTTCCAAAGGTATTAAAAATTCGTGTATTTCGGGCTGAGCAAGGCTGGGGCAGGATCGTCGCTTGGTTATAAATAAAAATAAAAATAGAAAATTTTCCATTCTTTTTCTTAATTTTTAATAAATAATGTCGAGAAGAAAACAATCAAAACCAGACTCCGAAATTTCATCAACGGAGAAAATTGACTTAATATTTTCGCAAAAGCATACATACCCAGTAACAAAATCGCAGTTATTATCAGACAACGAAGAAAAAATAACAAAATTTGTTGAAGATACATTACGTTATATAAATTCATTTAATTATCCTTATGAAATGTTTTATTATGAAAAGAATGAGGAAGAAACTTGTCATTTGATACGTTCCTATGAATCTGATAAAAGTATTGGAGCTTCATTAAAAGACTTGATTAAAACCGATAAAGGAAATGAAATTGAAGAAGTTTACTTTTTAGCCGATAAGAAGGTAATTAATTAATTAATTAATATCTTTTTAATAATAAAATAATAATAACTAATTGTGTATTTATTTATTATTAAAAAATAGCGTGGAATCATTACGTTTGCCTATTATAATATTGATTTATTATGTTTTATTTTATTTGCATTGAATTCAATGTGGTTTCTTACTACTCTTACTGATGAATCAAGATATCTTTTATATATATCTGCCATTCTTTCTGGTGTTAGATTACGCAAATATATTCGATTTTAACACATCTATAATTAATAAATAGATTTCAGCCATAAATAATTACACTAAAAGTACATAAGAGCTAATTATTATAATAATGATCTTATTACATTATCATTTTGGTTCAGTTTTGAATTTTTTATATTATTACTCATCACTAAATTATATTTTATAGCTTCAATTTCTTTTTTAGTAAATCCACATTGAAATAAATAATTATCTACTGATTTATAATGATTTTGAAATTTTTGTAAAGATGTCGTCATAAATTCGTACCTAAAAAAAAATTAATAATTTTTTATAATTTTTAAATTATGTAAATGTATATAATATGTATGTGTATATTTAAAAGTACTTACCTTGCACTTAACGTTTCTTTGATTTCTTCTTCATCAAAATAATTATTTGTCAATTTAATATATAATTTAATTTCTTTTGGATCCGTTACTAAAAAAAGAAATTTCAAAAAGATATCTTTCTCGTTTTATTATTAAAATTCAATAAATTTACCTCTTGAATTGACATGAGTTAATTCATATTCTCTCGAAATAATATCATCGTTCACACCTAAAAGCTTTAATAATAACATGGCAAATATTCCGGTACGATCTTTACCCGCAGTACAATGTACTACGAATGGTTGTGTTGGATATTCTAATATATGTTTAAATATTTTGTAATATGCTCTTTTTCCTTCTTCTAGAATCACCATATAAGCTATTAAAAAAAAAAAAAGAAAGAAAAGTAAGTTTATGCTTTTAAAATAGAAATTATATCAGATAAAGTTAGGTTAAATACTACCTTGTGAATACCCTTCTGTGCCTCTTGTATATAATTTCCATCTTTCAAATAATGCTTCAGGGCGATAATCATCTTCATTAAATACAGGAGCATGTACACGCGTCATTCCTTCAATATTTCTAGGGAAAAATAAAATTAAATTAAATCTTTATTTTTAAAAAAAATAATTTTAATTACTTACTTTATTCCTAATTTATTAACTTCAGGATTTGATCTTAAATCAAAAATCTTTTGAACATTTAATTTTCGGAGTGTTGTAATACCATCATCTGTAATCGATAATAAACTAAAAAAAAATCTTTTAATTTTTTATTGACATAATTTTATTGTTATTATTATCCTTAACTTACTTTCCACTACGAAAAATAAATCTTTCACGGATAAAATTTTGAATTCCATTTTCTTCTCGACTTCCTAAGTCACACTGATATCCACCTAAATCTCTAAAATTTTTTACGCCATCGATAAAAATATATCTTGATATACTATTAACGTATAAATATTTTTCATTAAATCTCTTAGATTGTGATTTATTTGAAAAATAATTAATAATAATTTTAATTAATTCATTATGTTTATTACTATAATTATGATTCACCCCTGGTAAAAGTTTTAATGTATGATTTGGAATTAAATTTGCAAAAATTGTTGCATCTTTAACTGAAACAATCTATTTAAAATTTTAACGTTAAAGATGAAGAGTTATAAATAAATAATGAGAGAAGGTAAAAGAAAGATTTGTTGTACCTCATCCATAATTCCATGACATGTTAAAACTGAAGTAGTATCTGGCATTTTGTGAACTATGAAAAAAAGGTATTAACGATATATGCACATAATAGATGTATTTAATTATATGCTTACCAAAAGACATATCATAATTAATAAAATCATGTAAATCTTCTTTAGTAACCTTCATCCTAATAATTTCGCCTCTAATTTTATTATTCTGATAAAAATATCCTTGTTCTTTTAATGAATCGAAAGCGGAATTTTCAACTAATGATAAACCTGCTGCCATATTATAACGAGCCGATATATTAATTACATGCGAAATATTACGGTTAACATAACATGCATATTTTAAAATTGCGACAGATCCTATATTTTCAATAAATAATAAAAAAATTAACTTAGAAAAAGAAGAAAAAAGTTTTTTAACAATTTAACAATTACCCTTAGAATGACCAATTGCTGCATATAATTTGTAACCAAATTCTTTTTCAAGGTATTTTACTACAGTATCGATATCTTCAACGTCCTCCTAATAAATATTTTTTTTAATTAAAGAAAATTAAGAAAAATAAATTTTTTTTTACCGTACATACCTGAAAATTAGAAAATTTTAGTATACCATCACTTTCTCCATTTCCTCTAAAATCGAATCGAAAATTATCAAAAGATAATTCTTTAGCTAATTTTTCTTGAAATAAATAATTTTTATGTCCTAAAAATATACAAATATTTATTCGTATACATAAAAAAAAAATTATATTTATTATTTGTTTTTTACCAGCTGACCCGTGACAAATAATCACAAGTTTTTCTCCTAAAGTACCATTTGAAGATTTTTTTTCTAGAATTCCTACTATATTCTGTCCTGAATCATTTTTAATATTTATTTGAGTTGTCATTTTTGAAAAAAAAAAGAAACAATGAAATTAATTTTTTCTAGAAATAAATAAATAATATTTTAAATTTTACAATTTTATTCGTTTTCAACCAATAAAGTACAAGATTTTCTATTAGATTTTTCGATTTTTCGATTTATTCTATATTTAGGTTTATTAAAAACAAAAGTTTTTTTGTCAACTTGAGTAAAAGAAACCTGATGTGTCATTGTGTTGATCTAATCTGCGGTAGGGTCATTTGGGTTGGCAATTTTTGATCAGCTTTTTGCACGAAGGTCCCCAAAAAACGTTTGTAAAGAGAAAAAATGGAAATAATATAATGATATAAACGAGTCTTTGTTTCTTTATATATATTAAAAATTGATCATATGATAATTATGATATGTAAATTTAGGTAATAATCTTGACTAAAACTTATCAATTTTGACAATTCATTATATCATAAATTCGTACTTCATAATCCGTACTTTATAATCCGGTACTCCGAAACTCTCCGTACTATTAAAAATAAACATCCCTTTCATAATAATCCTTTTTAATACAAGCGTACAAATGCATTATTATTTGATTTTCCCTTTCATGTCTTTATTTTTTTTTTTTCAAAAAAAAAAATTGTTTGAAGAATCACTTTGTATTAACAAAATTTATAAAGAGATACGATTCACACGAAAAGGAACATTTTAAAAAATTTCAGCATTAAGTTTATTTATATCCACCACCTATTAATTCTTAAGATTCATTCTAAGTTATAAAACCAAACTTTTTTTTTCAACTTTTTTTTTTTAAAAAAAATGAGCTTCTTCATGACAAGTGTTGCTCGTGGAAGACAGGAACAAGAAAGAATTCGAGCCGCAGCATTTAAATTTGATGATAAAGAGAATGATGGTTGCCCTCGTAAATACCACCGTAGTCGTTTATTTGCAGTAAGCATAAAAGAAAATAAAACAAATAAAACGAATAAAGCGATAAGAAGGAAAGCGGAAAAACTCCGCAAAAGATTGTTCGAAAAATGTACATTCATTCCTCTTGGCAATATTAAGCTCGAGAAAGATAAAGAAATCCGACAAGGTTTCATACGATCTCGCCAAGATAGGATCCTTTCCTATACCAGGAGAGAGATTCTCAAAAATTATGGCATCTATCGTGGCAGTCGAAAATGACTGACAGGTAGATTTTTAAGAAACTGTACCTTTCACACTTTTCCCCCTCCTTCAATAATATGAATAAATAATCTTATATTACTTTTTAGTTCTAGCCTTCCTCAGTTAACGGAGGGAACTTTTTTTTTTTAAAAAAAAAAAAATACTAATTCCTTTAAAAAAAAACAATATAAGTAAGTAGTTATTATTGTTTAAAAAATTTCCCATAAACAACATATTTTATGTTAATACTCTTTTTATTCATTTATTTATTTTATATAAGAGTCTTGTTAAATTTTATATAATTTGACGAGTTAATAGTATAAATAGTTGTTTGGTATAATTTTTTTTTTAATAACGCATATTCAAAATAAGTTAGTTGGTTTATAATTAATTCATGATTTTAAGAATTTTTATATTTAATAATAATAATTAATAATAATAAAAGTAAGTTTAATATTTTTTTTAATTAATCTTTTAATTAAACATTTGTAAGAACAATTTTACGGATTGCTAACTCCGGAATACTATTGTTATCGCAAAAGGAAATTGATCGTCAATTTTACAATGTTCACGTGATATTAATCTGCGGTAAATAATGCACATCATCAAGAAAAAAATTTTTTTTCCCTTTAACTTTTGCCTAATAATTAAATAATTAATTGTAATATAATTCACTGTGATGGAGAATTAGTTTGTTTAAGGGGATTTAATTGTGAACTATCTTGGTCTGATGGTAAATCAGGCATAGGAACTTGGGGTACTCCCTTAAAAAAAAAAAATTATAGTTAAATGTAGAAAGTAAATATAAAAAATATTCAATACATAAATATTTACTTGAGTCATAAGTTCCCAGAGTGTTGTCCTTTTCTCTTTCATACTCTCCTCAACCTGTTTCTGCCAATTCTCCATACTACTTTTGTACATTTGTTGTAATTCTGGTGCACGCCGTTTATAATCTCGATATGAATTGTTAATCTCATCATTCATAATTTGACGTTGCATCAATTTTTGTTTATAAGGAGGTATTTGTTCTTGCTGTTAAAAGAAAGAAAGGGGGAAAACAATTAAATTTAAAAATCTACCAAAAAAAAAAAAATAAATATTAAGGCTCTCCCATACAATTTGACCACTGCTAAAAGCTGAAACTAAGCTTGCTAATCCTTTTTTTGGTTGCTTAAGTTTATTTTCCCATTCCAACTGTTGTTGTTTATTCCATTGTTCTTCCCATGCAGCATAAGCTTTTGGAATATTTTCTTCTTTATATTGTGGTAATATTTGACGAACATCATTGACCGTAAATAGTGGAAAAGCTATAAATGTGAATAATTTTTTTAAAAATTTTCTTTTTTTTTTTGATTCAAGACATTAACATTGTCAAATAGAAAAATAAATTATGTAGTATGCATACATTCAAGGAACGGTAAAATATCTATTAAGAAAGTATCATTTGGATCTTCTTTCCATGGAGGTACCGCAATTGCATTCTCAGGTTGCAATGAATAAGAATCGGGATTAGAATCCATAATAATTACTTTTGAAAGATCCCGATTCAATTTTGAAATATCCTATACGTGAAATACGAAAAATGAATTGATATTTATTGTTTATTTATTATTTTAAATAAATATAAACGCAACAAAACCTTGACTATTTTGCCTTCAACATATCTCGTCGATTCTCTATAAAGTCTATAGGGAACAAGTCCCAATGGATCAAGTTTCATTAAAATTTGTTCAGCAATCTATAAATGTAAAATCATTTATTGTGAATCTATTAAAACCGTTTTGGCTCCAAAAGCATATCTAACTCACATATGAGGGCTGGGATGTGAAAATAACCACTTCGAAAATATTTGCCACAAAAAATAAAAAATAATCAACTCCAGGTCGTTTTGCCAATCGCCAACCATTCTCTCTCTAGAATAGAATGAACTTTATGAATTAATATTAATTAGATAAATCATATTAACATTTGCTCATACTCACGTCCCAAGTTGAATAAATGAGAGTTTGGTCCAAATTAATTACTAACGTATATGGAGAAGGCGGTGGTGGCAGGGAATCTTGATCCGGTAACAATTTATCCGATGGTGGTTCTGTGAAAAACTAAAAAAAAGAATAAAAAAAATAAAGTTCTAAACCCAATAAATAAATAACATTGAAATTGATATAAACATATTTGAACTTTTTACATGAAAAAGATCCTTGGTGCGTGCTCCCAATCGCTTACACCACGCTGTGAAAGTGTCTAAATCTTTATACTGTATAAAAATCAAACAAAAATTATTTACATATTTAATTATATAAAATTGAGATTTCTTACTTGATTTTCTCGATCAGTATTGAATGGACGCCCTGAATCAAATCATAGATTGAGTTTAGCGTACTATTAACAATGATTTGTGAGATTCCTTATAATTATGCGTTAAAAACACGAGAAAATTCGTAAAATAAAATGAATTAAATAACTCACCAGAATATATAACAAGACCTAATGTCGAAGCAAACATAATGTAGCCTGTTATCTCGTACGCCCTTTTGGCCTCAGGACTCATACTATCAACACTCGATTTTTTTGGCTTGTTTCGAACTTTTTTTGGTAAGTTTTCAACGGGATTTGTTGCAGAAGTTGTTTGTCTACGAATAAAACTCGTGTTCATTGGAACGATAGTTTTTGCCGGAAACAGACTAAGTGTCCGATAACTGGGCAAACGAAAAAGTGTGATTACTTTTATTAAAGAGTTTCGGTTTATTGTAGATCGTTTAGGTTGAGTTAAACTTAAAAGAAGATTGGTGTGAGGTCGTGTTAATAATAACAAAGAAGAAGCCATAGTTTTAAGCGAATCGAAAATCAAAGATAAACAGTAAAGAGAATAAATTTTATCAAAAAAAAAAACCCGTAGATCAGATCTCGATCCTAAAATGGTTAAATAATTTTGGCGATATTTCAAATAAATGTTTTAAAATTCATAAAATCGCCTTTTTAGCAAGTTTACTTGGAATACCAAAAAGGGTTTTAAATGCCATTTTTTAACAAAATTAATCATTTAGATAATGTATAATTTTTTATATATTATTTCTATTTGCAAAATTTTTTAGAATGCTTTTGAAATAGTTATTATATTAATATATAGCAATATATGATAGAATATAATATACAATTACCTAAAAATAAATTCAATCAGCTGTTTTATTAATAATTCCATTTTAGTGAAAAAAAAAAAATTTCAACATTTTAACCAGAATAGCTAAAGTAAAATTAATGACAAAAATCAATTCTTTAACTTAAAATTAGCTTATCTTTAAAATATTACAAAGATTTGATTAGTAGTTGTTAAAAAATCTACTTTTAAATAATGAATTTTGGTAAAATTTTTATAATTTTATATGAGCATTACTAAATATTACTAATGGTAATTGTCATCTTACCAGAATTAGGGTAGAATTTTGGGTAGAATTAAAAATAACATGAAATTCTACTTGTTAATAATTGCTAATGCTGGTACAGTGAGAATTACCTGCAGTAAAATTTAGTAATATCCATTTTATATTAGGATAATTTTAACGCTTATCAGGATCCCGCTTACTTATAATAAAAGTTACTATAGAAAATTGGCTCTTTACTAATAGTTTTTACCTTACTTTTTATTGGTTAATTAGCTAAAAAGAAAAAAAATCATACCAATGTAATATAAAATTTCCTTTTATAATAGGATTTGCAAAGAATTTTATATATAATTTTTACCTTAAGTCTGGGATGACCTATCTTATAAGTAAGCAGAGTTCTCGCTCATTCCAGGTGAAAATTACCTGGTCATCATATGATTTTTAAAATTTATACATGTAACATCATAATGTTTATCAAATCATTTACTAAATATTTATAAATAGCACTTATTGGATACAAGATACATTGAAAAAGTATCTATAAATGTTAAATTAAAGTATTAAAAAAATGCTTAAAAAATTAAATAATTAATAAATAATAAAATATTGCAATAAAATGTGGCACAACATTTATATATAAGCCATGTCAATCATGTTTTATATCAAATAAAATGCAACTATATTGTTATACAATTGCATAATTTAACTCTTGCAATATACGTTTAAGATTTTAGGAAAAAAATTTTTTTTATAAAAAGTTTTTTTTCTTTGCAGTTTATAAAGTTTTATATGTAAGAAACAGAATAGAAGTATGCTCCAGTGGAATCTGTTCAATCCGTCATCTATTTTTTGACTGGATCGGATAATCCGGATTAAGAATGAACGAATTTTGAAAAATCCAGATGGATCTGTTGGATAATACCAGATTGATCGGATGTTATATGGATGATTGGATTGACCGAATTGATCAGATAATCTGGTCAAATCCAGTATTTTTTTTTGCTTTTTTTTTTAAAAAAAAAATATATATATAAATATAGAGAAAGCGTCTTCGGTCATTCTTCCCTTTGGAATTCAGCTTAAACAGCTTAACACGTTTCCTTTACTTCATTTTTCTAGGGAACACCTTCCTGGAACTGGATTTCAGCTTGAAGGTAAGTTAGAGGAGGTCTTTTTGTTTTTTTTTTATTTATTTATTTTTCTAACGTTTTTCTTTATTTTTTTTTGTAGATTTTGGCTTCCCGAGTTCTTTAGAATAGTGGGTAAGTGTTTGTAAGTGCATTTTCTTGAAATTTACTTTGAAAAAACGTACTAACATTTCTTTTTTTATTCTTTTTTGTAGATTTTGGCTTCCCAGGTTCTTTGGAATATTGGGTAAGTGTGTGGGGTGTATTATTTACGAATTTACTTTGAAGAAATGTACTAACATTTCTTTTTTTATTCTTTTTTGTAGATTTTGGCTTCCCGGGTTCTTTAGGATATTGGGTAAATGTGTGGAAGTGCATTCTCTTGGAATTTACTTTGAAGAAACATATTAACGTTTTTTTTTATTCTTTTTTGTAGATTTTGGCTTTCTGGGTTCTTTGAGATATTGGGTAAGTGTGTGGGAACGCGTTCTCTTGGAATTTACTTTGAAGAAATGTATTAACATTTCTTTTTTTATTCTTTTTTTGTAGATTTTGGCTTTCAAGTTCTTTGGGATATTGGGTAAGTATGTAGGATGCGTTATTTACGAATTTACTTTGAAGAAATGTACTAACATTTCATTTTTTATTCTTTTTTGTAGATTTCGGCTTCCCGAATTCTTTTGGACATTGGGTAAATTTAAGTGTATGGGAGCGCGTTCTTTTGGAATTTACTTTGAAGAAATGTACTAACGTTTCTTTTGTATTATGATATGGGTAAGTGTGTGGGGTTGATTTATTTTAAGCAATGTAATAATTTTATTTGGTTCAAATTAATAAATAAATTTACATTACTATATAATAAACCATAAACAATAAATATGAATTATGTTTTTAAGAAAAAAAAATTGAATGGATTGAACGGATTGAACGGATATCCGTTGAACTATCTGATCAATCTGGTCAAACTGGTGATACAAGGATTGAACAGATATCCATTGATTCATCTGGTCAATCCAGTAACACAATCAGATCAATCCAAATCTGGTCAATTTTTGGATGGATGACCAGATATCCAGATTGACGGATTTCAGAGCATACCTCTAAAACAGAGATTTCATAGTATTTACTACTATTTTACTTTTATGGTATAAATGATTTCTAGCTCTTTAACTTTTTTTTGATGCTTATAAAACTTTTTTTGATTATTATTTCTGTCAACTATTACATTTTTAATAATACTACGCACTTTTATATCTCTTTTTCTTTTACAAATATGTCCAGTTTATAAAAAATATGAATATAATGAAATATATGAATAATAAAATGACTTTTATTAAGTTTTAGTGTAATCTCAAAATAGGAATAGTTATCTTGAATTTTTTTTTAAAAAATAATAAACAAGTCATATAAATATGGACATAATAATGAAGTTCTGATATAATAACGCCAGTTGCAACAAGTTTTTTGGGAGTTATATATGTATTTAACATTATTGTTTCTTGGGAAAACAGAGATTTCAAATGGCATTTTTTTTATTAATTAACATAATGCCGCATTTTACTATGTAAATTTTATCAATCACATGCAGATCGGCAATTAAGTATTTTATTTTTTTATTACTTAATAAATGCAAATTTTTAATACTTATCAAATACCGCTATTTGATAAATACAAGACTCCCATTTGGTTAAACTTCGTGATGAAAGTAAAATGCCAATAAATTGCAAATTTTCCTCTTTACTTTATTAAAGCATTATAAAATTTGATAACTAAAATGTTGACCAAAATAGTGAAATTATCATATTCTTAGCAAGAAAATTTGAAAATTAGTATCATTATGTAAAATACAGATATCTTTACAAGTATTATGCTTACACTCATAAAAATTAAAATGTAAGTGTTTTCCACCTTGCTGAATAATTTTCACTTAATAAAGAAAGTCAATTTCATTTGAGCAAAGTAGTAAAATTATACTCTGAATTTAATAAACAAAAAATGAAAAATTTGAAAATTATTGCTATTATATAAATGCAAATATCTTCACAAGTATTATACCTATGCTCATAAAATTTAAGATATATAAGTAGTTTCAACATCGCTGAACAACTTTTACTTAATAAAGGAAGTCAATTTCATTTGACTAAAGTAGTGAAATTACACTCTAAAGTTAACAAACAGAAAAATAAAAAATTTAAAAATTATTATTATTATAAAAACACGAATATTTTCACAAATATTATACCTACATTTATGTTATTCAAGATATAAGTAGTTTTGACATTGCTAAACAACTTTAATTTAATAAAGGAAGTTGATTTTCATTTGACCAAAGTGGCAAAATTATGCTTTAAAGTTAGAAAATATAATACAAAAAAAATTTAAAAATAAATATCATACTATGAATTGTATAAAATACCTGTAACTTCACAAGATATAAGTAAGAAAACTAAGTCAAAGTGTTTAATATGTGTTAATAACAAAGCTTTTAAAATTTTTTTTAAAAAAAAAATTTTTTTTTTATAATTATAATATACATGCTGCCCAAATTATTTTGGGATGCCATAATTATAATTTGGGATGTCGTAATTCATTCAATTTATATATAATTTACTATGTAAAGTGCCAAAATAATTTGGGATGTCATAATTGAATTTGGGATTTTACTTATAATTACGGCAGCCCAAAATAATTTGGATGGCATGTATAAATTATAATATGATAAATAAATAAAAAAAAAATTGTGAAATATAATACAAATCAAAGGTGATGAATTTCACTTAAGGTGATTAAAATTAAAAAATAACATAGGGTGAATTTTAAATTAATTCTTTATATTATATAGATTATTTAATTTTATTAATTTTTAAAAGTGAATTTTTTAATAATAAATCAATTTTTTTTACATTTTATATAAAAATAGATAAATTTGAAAGATGTTATATTGGATTTGAGGTGTTTAGCTTTATGTTGTTATTTTGACATATAAAAAGTTTATATGTATTAATCAAATTCATAATGACTAATAGAAAAGTCGATTGTTATTCTGAATAAGTCCAGTATTATTTCAAGCATAAAGTTAACTTGCCAAATAATATATATACTACCCAAATTATTTTGGGCTGCCATAATTATATGTAAAATCCCAAATTCAATTATGGCATCCCAAATTATTTTGGCACTTTATATAGTAAATTATATATAAATTGAATGAATTACAGTATTCCAAATTATAATTATGATATCCCAAATAATTTGGGTAACATATATATCAAATAAATCTATTAAATATTATTTGACTTTTATTAGAAGATACCAACTAACAGACATAGCAAATATTTGATATTATTTTAGTATTGATGATACTAAAAAAATGGAAATATATAATATTGAGTTATAAAAAACAGATTTTTTTCCTGAAAGTAAGAATTGTATTATTTCAGTATAAGATTAATTGATAAATCTAACCTGAAATTTTTTTTCAGATCAGGTCAGGTTATATTAGATTATTTATTTAACCTGACCTAAACTGAAATCTGAAAATTTTTAGGATTTTTATTAAAATATCATAAAAAATAGTGCAAAATATATGGATATTTATTTAAAAGTTAACTGAATCTATTTTTATAGAGTAAGAGAAATTCAAACTGAAAGTCTGAAAGATATAAATCTTACTTGAAACCTGGTTCAACTGTCATGTTTGAAATGCAATTTTTGATTAGGCTTTCAGAGACTTAAAAATAATATCTGTTGCCAAATAATTTTTATAAATGTAAATTACTTTAACATATCTGACAATATTTCTTTTAAGAAAGTTCAAGCTTAGCATTGGTATTATGAAAAAAATTCAGAAAAGAAATCAGAGAAATGATAAAAAATGAGCTGCAGAGACAACTGGATTTTTAGAAGAGTTAACAATAGTATTAAAGATAAGTTTGGATCTGAAAAAGTCAAAAAAAATTGGACTGATAAAAATGGAACAAAGGTTTTCAAAGAAAAAGGATTAAAATTACCTAAAATATGTTAATAAAGTTGATGGATAAAGTAGATTGGGATGTAGAAATGTATTTGAAAATTCAAATGGTTGAAATAATTCATACTGGTATATTCTTCATGTATTTATATATTTAATTTATAAGAATGATGATTTCATGGACAATCTGAAAGTTACATATATAAGTTCAAAGTGGTGAATCAATGGAGGTTCCAGATAAAGAAGAGAATTTTTCTTCTATTCTGGAAATTTTAGCATCCATTCTGAACATAAAGGTTAGGTTCAAGCCTTTTATCAAATGGTCATATATTTAAGCTGATGACTTCATAAATGTTAGGCTGCGATTTGAAAGACAATATGGTGTTATACATAAAAAACAAAAAAAATAATTATTTAAAATAGCTGTAACTCTAAGACAAAAATTAGAATTGATTATTTTCTTGCTTACCAATTCTGAAAAAATCTAGAGTATACATAAAAGCAAATGCAGAAAAATCATATCCATCATCACCATATACTGAATCATTATGATTCGTATTACCATTAATATAATTCTAGATTAAGTAGGATAACAATTATTCAATTCAGAATGTATGCAACTATGCATTAAAAAAAATAATTTATTTTCTTAGCCAATTACTAATATTAGATAATGTCACTCAAAAAGTAAACTCATAGCTTTTAATCATTTAGAATAAGTCACATTTGAATCATTCATGTGAAACTTTAGAGTTTTACCAATATCAGGCCTAGTGGTTTTTAGTATGTATAATGGTATACTCAGAAAATAAATATCTGTAAAATGCCATGCATAATTTCAGAAAAAAATAGGCTATGCTTCAAAAAAAAGGGGGTCGATCATCTCATGAGGCTGTTCCAATTTAATTGTATGTTTGTTTAACATCCAAAAAAATTAAGGGGGGAGGGGGCTTAAGTTAAACAAACTAAATAAATAAACATAGGAAAATTTGAAAATTCAGGCAAAATTTAAAGGGGATATTTATCATTATATGTTTATTAGCTTTTAAATTTTTTCAAAATAGAGGGGGTATTTAATAATATGTGTTTATTAGATCTCAAATTTTTTAAAAAATAGAGGGGGTGGGGGACATTACGGCCTGATTGTAATATGAATTTTTAAAAATAATTTAGATTGTTTAATGCATGTGAATATGTTTACTGTATAATGTATGCACCAGGCACCAGTGCCTTCGTCAGATAAAATGAATCTGATATTTTATTATTTTATTATAATTTACTTGTTACAATCTACTATAAATCACTTAAATTTACTAAAAAACGCATAAATTGATATAAATCAGTAAAATCACTAATTTGGTAATAAAATATGGCCAGAACAACTATTAAGATTATTTTAGATAAGATTTATAATACCCTAAACAAAACTTGTTTTTTTAGTTTCAGATCTATTTTGCACTCCTTTTATTTCTTCAAACTCTTTTCTTCTAGTTGAAGTATCAGAGAGTTCGTTGCTTTCTTCATCTGTATCATCATCATAAACAACATATTCATCATTTTTATTATTCATATTTACTGTATTAAATTTTAAAAAAATTTTTGCAAATGAAGAGTGACTGTGTGGAAAGTAATTTGATTAATTAATACTAAATGGGAACTTTTAAATGATTAAATTTAATTTCCGATATTTGTAAAAAACTGCTGCGCCATGTCTAGGGATTGGACCCAGGTTGGGTAATAATTTCCACCCGGGTGGAGCAGTTTACCATCTTCCTAGTAACACCACCAAAATTTTCACCCCACGTGACCTAATAATATTCATCACTAGCATCACACCTCACCGCGTTTTCACTGTTTATATTTATCTGAAGGATTTAGTTTTTTTTTTGCCTCCCAAAATTACTTTTTTTACATCCCCTTAAAATGAGGTGAAATTTTAATTATAAAATTGTTACTACGGACTACGGTAAATCAGATTACCCGTCGGGTCACCTGTTTAGTCACCTGTTGATTAATTGATCAATGTTGATTTCGGTCACATTTTCCAATATTTTTTCAAAGTGATACTGCTGTACTGGGAAAGATATAATGAGAGTGCGTCACAGGATGACAAATTTTGTAATTCTTTTTACCTAATATGATAAATAAATGGTGATATCGTATTAGTTTTTTTTTCCGAAATATATGAATCAGTCAGAGAATCATTCCCAATTCGAGTACGTGCTTACGAATTTTATGTTCTCGTGATATAAACTAGAAAATGCAAAATGACACTTTATTTACAAAAAGAAATTTGAATCAACGTGAAAAAAGGAAGAAAATTTGTCGATGCAATAATTTAAAAAGGGAGGTTTATTCCAAACATTAATTCAAGTCATGATCAAATTCTTCCAATTTTCTAAATCAATTGGTAAGTTCAAATTTCGTAAATCATTCACTATTTCTAATATATGTAAAACTATTTACTATCCTGTTTAAAAAAAGGTCAAAGTTTTGGATGCAAATCGAAAATGACAACTTTCGCTCATACCGATTTCAATAGTTCTGCTTATAGTGCATACCGTCCCACGTAAATATTATTACTTATATTTATATATGATATTTATATTTAACTATATTTATATATTTATCTATGTTATATTGTAGTTATGGAAAAGAATTATATGAAAAAATTTATTCTTTTCATAGATCTCATAATGGTAGATTTGATAATGCACTTGATGTTGCTACGGGAACTGGACAAGTTGCAATTGAATTATCTAAATCATTTAAACAAGTTTATGCAATTGATGTTTCTTCCACAATGCTTCAAAATGCGATTAAAAATCCAGATATTACTTATTCAATATCCAGCGCAGAAGATTTATCCCAATTTTCATCCAATTCTATTGATTTAGTTACGGCAGCTCAATCAGCTCATTGGTTTAATATAACAGAATTCTTTAAAGAATCTTTTCGTGTGTTAAAACCTCAGGGAACTTTAGCAATATGGGCTTATGGTCAAAATATTCTGAGGGATTATCCAGATTTTAAACATTTAACGAAAAAATTCGTTGAAGATGAATTTAGAACTTATTGGAGTAAAGAACTGGATACCATAGGAAATTTTTACAGAGACTTTAAATTTCCCGAAGAAATGTTTCAAACCGTTAAATGGGAAATTTATGATGGTGAAGAAACTCCAGATGCCGAACCACTTTTTATAACTGAATGGACTATCCCTCGATTAGTAAAATATTTTAAGGTAAAATTTTTTTGTTAAAATGGTAAAAATTTAAGATTTAAAATTTTTCACCATTTTTCTTATTGCTAATAATCATGATTAGACATGGAGTTTTTATAAAAATTATTTGACAGCAAATCCCAATTCTCCGGATCCCATTGATAAGCACATTGCTGATCTAACTCAACTTTTTGGATGGAAAGATAATGAAGTGCTGCAAATTCATTGGCAAAGTGTTTTGATTTTAGCTGAAAAAAGATCATAATTATCTTTTTATAGATAAACTGCCAAAAGCCACACTTTACGACGATAATATTTAATTTTAAATAAAATCCAAACCAAATTAAGAAAGAATCTAAACAATGTATATTGAAATCACGATGATGTCATTTACTCTGATAATAAAAAATATACACTGTCTTTTTTTTTTTTTATTATTTCTTCCTTTCTTTTAAATATATTTTTAATCATTTTTTTTTGTTTGATTAAAATAATAAAAAAAAAATGTTACCTTCTAAAAAGTTGAATTTGTCAAATTATCATACAATCTTTGATAGTCTAATACCCAGAGATATATTGAGTCAAGGTATCCTAAAAATTATTATTTAGCGAAATAATTGCAATTAAATTTTCTAAAAACAATTTTTTTTTATAATCAAAATATTTAGCACATCTAATTATTTAGACTTAATAATTTATTTTACTTTTTAAATAGATTATGAAAGAGATTATTTGGCCCGACGCAATTTATTACAAGCGCGCGCTATAATTACTGTTATTGTTTCAGCGATGTTAACTTTAATTATTCAACTTGTTGTAGACCTTTACTTATCCTACAAACACGTTAAATTACTACATATTGCTTGGCCCTTTTCTTTCATTGGAACTTTGATTTGTGCAGGTTCATTTTTAATTTACTGCGTTAATAAATTCCCTTCGTCACGTGTCTATAAATTCCTATTCTGTTTCTTAATTATAATTTAGTGATATTATATTTTATACCTTCGGGAAGAATTACAATATCTCAAGCTGCAAAAGTTGGTATTTATTTTTTCTTGTCAATATCAGCTTATACATCTTGTATTGGTAATGTATTTAATTTTTTTCATATTACGTATATTACGCGCAAAATGTCATTCACTCACTCACTTTTTTTTAACTAGGAACTCAAATCCAAACGCTAAGTCATGCAAATTTTTTTGTTGTGCCACCTTTCGGGTAAAGTCTTGCCTTTTTTTCATGCTTTAATATATTATCTAATATTAACTTATTCATACGTTTCTTTTATTCAAAGTTATATTTTTGTTTCTAAAGAATTTGGAAAACAAACCACGATAGTAGTATGCATCATGCATGTTGCTGCTTTTTTTCGGTAAGAATAAAAAATTTCCACTTTGGCGCAGCAATTCAGAAACGCTCGACAAAGGTGGGATGATAATGTTCTTATATATGCGATTTTGTCAATATCTTAAAAGGCATTTGTTCTTGTGGATTTTAGGTCACTTGGAAGACAAATAAATCCAATTTCGTTATCGTCAAGTGGCTGGGTTGTCTGTGACGTTTATATATTATGTTTCATATATTTTCTATTTGTGAGTATATCACATTCCCATTTGAATCTTTTCTTCTATTAATGTTTTCTGAACTTAACGTGAATTTTTTAGGTAGCGTATGAACAAGAATTCCAATCCAACCAAGAACGGACCCAAAAGTCATTGGATGAAGTAAGTATAAATGAATGGATTTTTTTATTGTTAATTTAATTAGTAAATGCTTTTATAAAATAGGCAAGATCTGCAGCGACGGCCAAATCGATGTTCATTTCGAACGTTAGTCATGGTAAAGATAAAATACTTACAATTAACCACGGATGCATATATAATATATATATATCAATTAAAATTATTGGTTTTTTTTTACACTTTTGATTCCACTAGAATTACGAACGGTATGTGCAAAGTTTTGTCTAATTCTTGTTTTTATAAAGTATCTAAATTTATTTTATTATCATCTTACCATATTGAAGCCATTACATGGTACGTGAACAAAAGATATAGATTTCCTTATTTTAATTTAGTTATTTTAATAATCAATTGATTTTCCTTTTTTGTAGGAATACTTGCTACAGTTGAAATTTTAGCAAAAACACAATTAAATGAATCTCAACGTACACTACTTAGCGCAATTGAAAGTTGCGGAACAAATCTAATATCGGTAAATTGATTATTTATGAAAAAGTGTTTGATGTTATATTGATTATTCATTTATTTAACATTTAATATAGGTAGTAAATCAAGTTTTGACTTATGCAAGAATCGAACACAATAAATTGGAACTGGTAAGCTTTAATTGGGTAAAGACATCCATTATTAAGATGTTTCGAAAATATAATACGGGTTTTTTTTCTTTTAGGAACATAACGTTTTTGACATATATACTGTTATGCAAGAAATAGGAGATGGTAAGAATAATATGAAAATATAATATTTGTCAAGTTTTTTTTTCACATTATATAATAATTATAATTTTTTTTTATTTTTAGGTTTGGCGCCTATACCAGAAAGTAAAAATTTGGACTTTTTTGTTTGTGTGGAAGCGAATCCCTTACAAAGGTTTCTTGTAGGGGACGTTGGTGTTTTGCGTCAAATTATTTTGAATGTAATTTAAATAATTAACTTTTTTTTTTTTTGAATCTTAGAATTTCATAATGAATTTAAATCTAATATTTTTTAATTTGTTTACAGCTTCTCGGAAATGCGGTATATAAATATTTACAAATCAAATTTTTATTTTTTTTATATTAAAGTTTGTCTATCCCGAAATTTTTGTTAGATAAAATTTACCGATAAGGGAAGAATAGAATTAGTTACAATTGAAATAACCGGTGAAAGCAAAAAAGACGGACAAGAACAATTAAAACGACAAGTGATAACATCGAAAGAGTTTGAAACTATAAAAAATTCATCCGCTTCTGTACAAATTAATTCTCCTGGGCAACTTTCTGAAAATCAAAAAGATAATATTCAAAAAAGTCCTAAAGCTCAATTTAGAATTAATGTAAACGATACAGGACGGGGTATTGCACCTGATTTTATATCTCATATGTACCAACCATTCTCACAGGTCTTTTTATTTTTATTTTTTTCAAAAAAAAAAAAAATAATAATCAAGCGCTCACTTTTTTACATGTATTTATTATAGGAAGATTCTTCTTTAAAAAGAAAATTTGAAGGAACTGGATTAGGTCTTAGTATTGTCAAGGGTAAAGTTGATATTTATTTTATGCGTTTCGATTATATTTCTTATATTTCTAATCCTATTTAATAAAAAAAATTTAGGCCTTCTTGATATGATGCATAGTCAACTTGAAGTTGACTCAAAACTTGGACAGGGCAGTAAATTTTCTTTTAAACTTGAATTACCAATTTCAGATCGCCTTGACGATATGAACGCTTCACCCCTTCCATTCGATCATAAATATCTGAAACTTCCTCCATCAGAACAAGAGATGTTAATAAAAAGGCTTCGTTCCTTATCATATGTTATCTTAAACGTTGAAGAATTTTTACTCTCACAAAAAATAGCACATTATTTTGATCAATGGGAGTTCAGTTATAGATTATTAAGTATAGATAAATTGAAATTTGAATGTACAAAACAACACGCTGATGTTGTTATCTTGAATGATAACATTAATGATTTAGAATTGTTCTTAAATGAGTTTATACAATATTACCGAAAGCCAAAAAATATGGGAATAGAAGAGGAAAGTATCGACAGTGTTATGAAAAAAAGACAACATGTACTATTTTTTAGTACAATAGAAAATTATCAACAAGCTGAAACTCTTTTAATGAAATATAAGCCACAAAGTGTTGAAATCATAACTAAACCTGCAGGTCCTGTTAAAATATTAACAGCAATTATAAAAACTATTGAGTCTTCATTTAGTAAGTATGATGGCATTATGAAAACTCAGGAAGAAAAGATCAGATCAATCAGAGAAGAATATCTTGATTTTATTAAAAGCTCAAATAATCATAAGATCAGTACGATGGATATTGGACCAAGTGGGGAATTAACAATAAGTCCAAGTAGACTTACGCCACCCGCAATGATTGAAAGAATTATATCTGAAGTAAGTGGAGAAGATAAAAAGACTTTTTTTGATCAAGAACAATTAAAGGAGGAATCGAGTATGCAATTAAAAACTAAAGGAGTCAAGAATAAATACAAAGAAGAAACGGAGAAAAAATTACAAAAAAGTCCAAAGGATATATCATTTTTAATAGTTGAGGTAAAATTTCAATCTTGTGATCTATTCCTTTTCTTTTTTTTATTATCAAAATTATTTTTTTGAATTATTTATAGGATAATAAAATCAATGAGATGATTTTAACGACGATGTTAAAACAATCGGGATATTATAATTACGATATTGCAAATAATGGTCTTGAAGGTTGGATTGATTATATAATCTTTGGTTGTTTTTCTTTTCTTTTTTTTACCCTTAATGCGAGCAAAATTTTCATTATAGCTGTTGAAAATTTTACAAAGAAATCATATGACATAATATTTATGGTATGTGATATAATGAATTTCGACGGTCAAACATTATGCAAAAGATTATTTTTCGGCGATACCAAATTTGATTATCGAATTTCGAACTAAAAATTTGTTTACGCATTTATTAATAGGATCTTCAGATGCCAATATGTGATGGCGTAAGCTATTATTATATCCGCTTTTTATTTCACATTATCTGTAACTTTTTAAAATGTAATCTTTTTTTTTCTTTATTCCATATAATAGATTGTAGCAACGAAAGAAGTAAGTAATTTCTTTGCAAGTTTATTTATTTATAAAATTATTTATTTAAACATTTTAATTAATTTAAGATACGGAAAATTGAACGTGGAGAAGAATCATATTTATTGCAATCACATACCTCAAGTCCAAAGTCTCAAAGTCCGAGTGATACTTCTGCGGAAGGAACGTGTAAGATTGGTAGAAGACGAAGAAAGAAGGCTATAATTGTTGCAATGACCGGACTCGCTTCAGATGTATATAAATTAAAGCTTACCTCCTTTTCTTTATGAATGTGTACTAATAATGAACTTTAAAATTAATTGATGCATAAATAGGAGGATAGCCAAGCCGCGGTATAAAGATAAATTTTTTATTTCTTTTATTATTAAAGTAAAATTTTTAATATCTTTTCCCTCTATAACGAAATTTAGGAAGCAGCTGGATGTAACGAATTTTTGACAAAGTATTAAAACCATTTTAAAAATGCTATTTATTTATTTATTATTTATTTTTCGTAGTTATAAACGTATTTAATTATAAAATAAAATATTTAATTTAGGCCAGTATCGATAAAATCTTTAAACGCACGTATGGAAAGTTGGACGAAAGAAGCATTAAAGGTAGATGAAGAAGCGATATCATCAGAAGAAAAAAATGATTAAGACGAACAAGATTCTGAATGGTGATAAATTTCTCGTGATTTATTTACAAATTTATACATAAACCTGTCATAAATACAAAATCATAAGTTATTTAAAGTTTTATTACATAATGTGTATAATAATATAATCTAGATGCAAATTGATGTAATTTGATCATCCCACGCGAGTAAAAATTTCTCACACTAATATTTGTGGCTGTAAATCATAAAAAATATATAAAGTAAAATAAACCCATTTTGTTGGATATTTAATAATGGAATCAACTTCATTCCAAAATATTACAATGTATAATGAAAAAAATATAACATTTGACGTTCCAGGATGGGGACATACAAAAGTATCAGTTAACGAATCAATGACTGCACAAAATCTTTATTTGTTTGTTGGACTTGATAATATCGATATCTGTCAAGTTATTTATAGAATAGATAATCTAGTTTTAGAAGCTTGTAAAGATGAAAGTGTTAAATTTATCTATGAAAAATGTGATGATAAAGTTGTTCAAGTTATTCATATATTAGAGAGTATGATTGAAAATGATAGTAATAGCGATCGTTATATTGAAAATAACAAACTTTGGCAACTTACTAAAGATTTATTTTTTATGGCCTTGCAAGAACTTAAATTTATAATTGTAAGTTTTCTCGTTTATGTGTATTGAATATTTTCAATTATACTCTTATTCATTCGTGTATTATTATAGAAAGAGCTAGATATTAAAACACTTTGTTATGATATTTGGCAAGACCTTAAATTCTTACTAGAAGTTCTTGATCTGAAAGGAATTTGTTTAAGTGTATTGAGAGCGATTAAGTATATATTCGTAAGTAATTTAAATTAATAAAATATTAATTATGATGCATAGGTATTAATTTCATCGTATCCTTAAAGGAGACATTTGATTATCGAGCTATATTGGATGCTGCTGGAAGAGATTTTAGAATCTTATTGGTAATTTTTTAAAAAAAGATTGTATATGCTGTGTATACCTGTTACTTTGTTTAATACGTAATCGATTTTATAGGAAATGATTAATTCAAAAGAGATATGCTCTGGTACTTGGCAAGACATTAAATTTTTATATGTAAGTAATTTTTTTTTATTTGATTATGAAATATTAATAATTGAAATATAAATTAATTGTAGTTATTAAATATAAGGATTCTTTCAGAACTCGATAATTCGTAAATAGGTGGCAATATTTTATCAAAGAAAAAAAAAAAATTTAAATTTAAATAAATTATATTAATCATGACTATTATTATATATAAACTTTATATTCTCTCTCTCGATGGAATTTTAAATATGTAACTACCTTTTCCAAAATAATCTTTTGTATCAAAAACATATAATTCATTGTGAGTTGAAAATTAGTGAAAATAAACCAACTAAACCATCTTTGTTTAACCAAGATTCTTCACTCCACCTTTTTTCTTTGGTGTTCTTGCATTCATATTGTTTATTAATTGATATTAACAAAATGATTTCTCATAATATTTTTGAATGTCCACCGCTCCCTTAAGAAAAAAATATTGTCATTACTGCATTTAATTTTGTTTCACATGACTATTAAAGTATATGATCGGTGATCGTCTCACAAAATATAATGTACTGTACAAAGACAGTTTTTGATCATAACGACACTTTATATTCAGTAAATCACTTTTGTCAATAGTGAAGGGAAAAATACATAACATGGCTTCAATTCAAAGTCTTTTCTTTGGTATTCGTGAATATCTTAGTCCTGTACTCAAAAACTCAAAGTTCAAAGAAACTGGCTGCATTACACCGGAAGAAGTAAGATATTACTATTATTCATTTTTGCGAGCCTAAAATATTACATCGTAAAATACTTTAAGGGAAGTTATTAGTATGCATAAAAAATTCTCCGATCTTTGGTTTTTTCTTTAGTTTGAAGCAGCTGGTGACTTTTTGGTATATAAATGTCCAACATGGAAGTGGTAAGTTTTTTTTTCTAAAAAAGAAATCACATATGAGAAAGTTAATCTTCTAATTATAAAGGGAAAGTGGCGAAGTAAGTAAAAGAAGGGATTATTTACCCGCTGAAAAGCAATTCCTTATCACAAGAAATGGTATGAATCTAAGTAGAATAATTTGATTTACAACTTTTATTATATTATATATTAATAAATTTATTTTATTTAGTACCATGTTTTAGACGCGTTAAGCAAATGGAATATACTGAAGAGGACTCAGAAACTCAAGTTGAGACCGAAGATGGTGAGGAAGCATGGGTTGCAACTCATAGTGGTCGTGGTATGTTGAGATGTATTTCAATAATTTATATTTGCTGATTTATATTTAGAATGAATATAATTGTTTTTACATATAAGTTGCTGCAAACATTGAGGAAATTGTGCAGCAAATTGAAGGTGAAGATGACGAAATCACCAAAAGGATGAGTAGCATTTTAATTGAACCGGAAACTGAAAAAGAGGAAGTTGATATTCCTGATTATGATGATATTCCGGATATTGAAGATGTTGTTGAAGATGATGATCCTGTAAATTTTTAATAATAAAAAATCAGTTTTCTTTACTCTTTTTAATCGTAAGGTTAATAAATCCAATACGTTATTTAGGCGGCATTGAATACAACGAGTAATGTGGTTGCTACGCACGACGATGGTCTCAGGTATGTATAAATGATTTGATTTTTTTTTATCTTCATTGTTAATATATATTTAATTATTTATTGTTACAGTGACAAGATTCTTCAAGTACGAACATACGATGTATTTATTACCTATGATAAATATTATCAAACTCCGCGTATGTGGTTATTTGGTTATGATGAGGTAAATCTAATCTAATTAATATTAAAAAAAAAAATTCGAATTTATTCTAATTTATTTTATTAATTAAGCACCGAAGTCCTTTGACATCAACTCAAATATTTGAAGATATTTCTCAAGATTATGCTAAAAAAACAGTTACTATTGAGGCGCATCCACATTTGAATATGTCATTGGCTAGTATTCATCCTTGTCGCCATGCTCAAGTTATGAAAAAGATTATTGAAAAGATGAATGAAGAAGCTCTTAAAAAATTTGAATTATTAAAACAACAATACGGAAATTCTCCAAATGCTCCACAAGCTGAACAAGCACAAGTTAGGGTTGATCAGTAAGTATTTGATTAAATAGTTATTAGACGAGGATAAAAATATCGGTCTTCATCCCCATCCAATAAATCACCTCTACTAATGTTGATATACAATATTAACAATACGCAACATAAAAATATCGGGTTGTTAAAAACCCGTACATTCCTAATCGACTGAACAATAACTTTTTTTAGAAGTTTTCTCATGATTTAACTAATTTTTTTCCTTTATTATTGTTAGATATCTTATTATTTTCTTGAAATTTATGTCTTCAGTGGTCCCAACAATTGATTATGATCACACAATTAGTGCATAGATAGTGCATAGATAATGCATAGACAATGCATAGACATGTATTTTACTCTATTTAATTAAGTAGTTTTTGTATAATATGACTACAATATTTTATGCGAAGGGAATATTTTAAGATCATTATATATAATTGATTTTATTTTTTATAATGTGTATTTTAAGAATTTTTTTTTTATTTAACAATATTGTTAAATTAAAAAAAAAGTAAGTTTGAAAAAATTTGTTTGTTTACTTTATTATTTGGTGTAATTAATTAATAAGTTTATTATTAAAGTGTTATAATGTTATGTATTTTATAATACATGTCTTGGTTAATATTATATTATGAATGTATAAATGAAAGATTTTAATAAAGCTTTTTTTGACTTTTTTTTATAAATTACTTATATAAAATAACTTTATATATATAAAAAAAGTTACAAAAATCTACAAAAGAAAATTATATATTTTTTTTTTTTTTTAAAAAAAAAACTTCCCATCAAACATATAAAAACAATTAAAAGTATGAAATATAGAAATGAGAGAAATTAAAAAGTGAGGGATTTATTGAGTAATAATGAATAATGTCCAGTTCATTCATAATAAAACTTTTTTTTTCGTAGCCAGTACTACCAAAAAAAGTTAATTTATATTAATGTGATGTAATATTAAATTATTAAAATTTATGTTTGCTGTACTCTTTCAACGCGTTTTAACCAATTCAATTTTCCTGATATTTCGCCTCTCATTTTTACAACATGTTCTCGATATTCATCCGTTTTTTGACTTGAACTTTCTATATCTTTTTTCATTATTTCGATTTCGCTCAATAATTTTTGAGCACATTTCTCTTGATTTTCTTTTAATTTAGAAGCAATAGATTCCAAATTTCCTAAATCATCTTTACGTTCTGAAGTTAATTCTTCAACTTTAACACCAGCCATTAAAACGACATCTTCTAATGATCTTGAGGTAGAACTCATCTCTTGTCGAAGGACTTTAAATTCTTTTTTAACAGTTTCAACATCTTTTGCATATCTAGTTTTAAAGGTTTGTACCTCTTTAGATAAAAGTGAATATTCAATTTCTGATTTTTCTTTTAAAGCTAAAGCTTCTTGTAATTTTCTTTCCAAATCTGACACCTTTAATTCAGATTGTCGAAGCTTTGTACAAGCATTATCACGTTCAAATTTCATATCTGAATTTTTTTTCTCAATTTCTTTTGCATTTTCGTCTAATTCTTTGGATTGTCTTTCTTTACGCTCTAGCATTCTTTTTAAAGAATCGATTTCAAGACGTAAAGTTTGATGGGAAGCTAAATGTTCTGAAACTTGCCTCTCAGCTCTTTCACGAGCAACTTTAGATACATGAATTAAAGTTTTTGAATCTGCAAGTTCTTTTTTTAAGTAATCAATTTCAGCTTGCAAATGTTCAATTACTCTTCCTGTAGTAGACTCGCTTGTCATAATTCCGTTTGTGCCGTTTGGTTGATTCTTATTGAGTTGTTTTTGAACTGTTGAGAGTAATGCGTTTTTTTCTTCTATGACGTGTCGAAGACTATTAAGCTCTTGTTTTAGTGCGTTAACGTCACCCGAATCTTTTTTTGTTTCAAGTTTTGTTTCAAACAAGTTTAGGTGACAAATTTACAATCAGGTCATTAAACCCAAACATAAAATAAAAAGAAAGAAAGACTTGTAGTTAGTAAATACCATTTTTTTTTTTTGTGAAAGTAATATTTCACAGGAAAAAAACTCGAAAAATTTTTATAGGCTTCTTACCGTTGCTCATGTGTACAGATTGTTGTTAGCTGTCAAGAGATGACAGTAGATTTGCTAAAAAAGAAGGAATCGTTTAAAATTTGAGAATCAGTAATCAATAAAAAAGAAAGTTTTAAGAAAACTGAAAATCCGGAATGTTTTTTTTTTGGCAAAGTGGGCCGGCTTTTAGTTACTAATATTTTTTCAAAATAAGAGGGTGTTAATTAAAAAAAAAAGTTTTTTCTTTAATTTTTGTGCTTTATATTTATAACGAGGAAGTGAATTGATTAAAAAAAATTATCTGTGGTGTTTCTTTTATACATATTGTAATCAATCAGAATTTACTCGTGTAACAAGAGAAATTAATTTGAATAATAACCTTTAATTTTTGATAAACAAACAAGTGGACCTAAGAAATGAATAGATACGTCCGCTCAAAAATTGAACGTGTTTCCTGCTCTTTGATTGGATCAAAGATCATATTGACCGTTGAGATCTCCCGGGTCACATTTACTGTACTACGCCCCAAAATTGCCTACAATTTGGTTATTAATATGCAGATATTTGGAACAACATTAGGTTATTTTTTATTGTTATTAAAAAAAAAATCACTTTTTTAATTATTTGTATAGTAGCATCTACAAAAATTTAGTCTTAATATCTAAGAAATTAACAGTTAACGTAGATTAAATAGTTAATAATTATCATTATGATGTCACTTTCGTTGATCACATGTTATGTAACAATTACATAAAAGACTTAAAATTACAGGGGAAATTCTGTAATTATTTATCCCCTTTTTCCCAATCCTTATTAGCTAATTATCTTTATAGAAAGAGTTTTTTTTTTATTTGATTTTTTTTGTTTTCCTTTTTTTCAATGAGTATTCAATTGATCTCATATAATTTATTTGTTTATGATAAATTCACCAATCAAAATCTACCAAAGCCACTTTTTTGTCTAAATTTGGTATCACTGACAATCGCACATTATTGGTTGAATTTTTAACCGAGGAAAGTATTATTGTATTATATGATTTACTTCTCGCATAAGAAAATTTGTTAATAATTATGTCTTGTTTACTGCTTATCATATAAAAACGCAATAACTGATATTAGAAGGCTTTAAATTCTTGCGATCAAAAATTCGCCGCATTGTCGCGTTTAAAAAAAGTATCTACTCTATTTATAACCGTACGTTACACAAGATTTCGTGAGCTTCCGTGAAATGAACTACTTAACTTCACAATAAAACCTTTTACTATACTTTATATAAAAGCATCCTATAAATTCTTTTTTTGAAGGTTCGAAATATTCTTTTTTTTTTTTACTAATATACTGTTTCCTATATCCTTAAGGTTTGTCTTTAAAAATTTTAAGTTTCTGTTTTAACTTTTTTTATGTACGTCTTTATTTTTCCTTTTTCATATTTAGCTATTTATGTATAATAAAATTTTTTTTTTTCTTTTTCTTTTCTTTGAAAGTTCGATGCCTTTTTTTCTGCCTTTTTTTTTAAAAAAAAAAAAATTCAATTCATAGCATAATTTTTTTTTCTCTCTCTTTTTGTTTTTTTTTGGTTTATTGAACTTTTATTTGATCTTTTTTTCCAATTTTACCAAAACTACTTTAAATATATCTTTTTTACTTACCCTGCCTGGAAATTTTTTTTTATTTTTATGTCTTCTATTCGGTTTAAAACTCTATTTTGCTTTGTAAAAGGAAAAAGAATGAAAAGCCCGAAGTCTGCAATTTTAGGTAGTAAATCTAGATTCTTGAAGATTTTCACTAAAGTTATTAATGAAGATCCAGGAAATAGAACAATCAGTCGCAGACAACTATCTGCTTTATCACCAACAAAACCTCATTTTCCGAATGTATCAGAGGTGGAAGATGAAGGCTTCTTCACAGTTGAAGACCTGGCTTCTAGGATAGGTAAATAAAAAACGGCCTTTTATTAATTATATATATTGTATATATAAATATGAATATGAATATATATATAATTAGAATTATTTCGTTGTTTTGTTATCAGCTATATTAAATTATATTAGATCTAAATTTAAATAATTTCGGCAATAATTTAAAAAAAATTAATGGCAAGTTCTTTTAATCTTATTTATTAGATTTTCTCATTTGTCTTCCATACGAAATAGCCGCATATATACTTGTATTTGTGGATTTTAAGACATTATGTAGAATGTCGAGAGTGTCTCGCGCATGGTATTGTATCTCTCGAGATAACGAGATATGGCGTGGTATGTATACGTTAAATGAGGGATGGAGACACAATGTACCACGAGAAGTCACGCTTACAGGTGAAGCTGACTGGAAACTTATGTATAAAAATCGATTTATACTTTCATTACGATGGAAAAAGGGTGAATGTGAAAAGCGATATCTTAAAGGACATTTAGATAGTGTATATTGTATTCAATTTGATGAACACAAGATTGTAACTGGATCTCGTGACAAAACTATTAAATTTTGGGACATTAATACTGGAAATTGCTTTCAAACTTTACATGGACATGATCTTTCAGTTTTATGCCTACAATATGACAATTATATCATGGTTTCAGGGTCAAGTGATACCACCATTATAGTTTGGGATATGTCAAATTATAACCAAAATGTACCCCAACTAAGGCGTTTGGAGGGGCATTGTGCTGGTGTATTAGACATTTGTTTTGACGATTACCATATAGTCTCTTGTTCAAAAGATAGTACGATTAAAGTTTGGGATGTGCAAACAGGTGAATGTCTTCGTACTTTAGTTGGTCATCGAGGTCCAGTTAATGCTGTCCAACTTAAAGATAATAGGATTATTTCAGCTTCTGGTGACGCCTTAATTAAACTTTGGGATTTAGAGGAGGGAAAATGCATTAGAGATTTTGTTGGCCACACACGCGGGTTAGCTTGTGTCCAATTTGATGGAAAATACGTCGTTTCAGGTTCAAATGATAGAACAATTAAGATATGGGATGTTGAAACAGCTCAATGTATGCGTACACTTGAAGGTCATACTGATTTGGTTAGAACATTACATTTTGACAATGATAAAATTGTCAGCGGAAGTTACGATCAAACTGTTAAAGTTTGGGATTTGAAGACCGGAAAACAATTGCTTGATTTCCATGAAGGTCATACAAGTTGGGTATTTGACGTCCAATTCAGTTTAACGAAAATTGTTAGGTAATTTATCTCTATTTTATAATTATTTTCTTTAATATCAAGTAACTTACTTTAACATTCTTCTTACAAATAGTACAAGCCAAGATCAAAAAATACTGGTGATGGATTTTGCTGATGATTTGGATACAAGATATATTATTTAATAATTTTAGTAAATAGACTTATTTATTTAGGATTGCTTAATATATATATACATATATATATATTTCACTGTTAATATTTCATTCTATAATTTTTACACTTAATCATTGATGATCGTTAAATATTTTTTCTCTCTTATTTTTTCTAAAGATTTCTAATTAATAGACCTTCTTTTTTTCAATGTTAATACTTCACTTTATTTGATGGATTTTTAATCTTTTTTATTTCTCCTTCGCATACAACGTACTTGGTTAATTATGATATTATAATTACGTATTGTTTCACATTTGTTTTAATAAAAAAAAACGAATATATCGTCATCATCTAATGACGATCATTTATAAATTATTATCATTGAAATCAAAGATCTAGGTTACACGAAGATCATATGAATACAGAAAAAAATTTCGAAAAATTTTGCATCTAAGACCCTTTTCTTATTAATTAGTATATGCTTTGAAGCTTATAGGTGTGGTCCTTTACAATGAATTTTCTTCACCGTGCAACGTCAAGGTTTATACGCAGCAAACCGACGTTTAGCAATAATTTATCTTCCTTAATTTTACTGAGAAATGGAGTATATCCTACAGCTTTTAAAAGTATATATAAAGAATCTTTTTTGATAAAAAAAAAATAAAAAAAAAAATAATGCTTAGCTTTAAAATTGCTGATAATTTAATATTAGGTCGTCGTTTTTATGCCTCTGAATCTAACACTGGCACTATCCAAGCCGTTATTGGTGCCGTAGTAGACGTACAATTCGACGAAAAAAGTTTGCCTGCTATCTTGAATTCTTTAGAGGTTCAAAAAAACGATGGTGGTCGTCTTGTACTTGAAGTATCACAACATTTAGGACAAAATGTTGTTCGTACTATTGCTATGGACGGAACAGAGGGTAAAAAAATCGAAAGAAACTCAAAGGCGTTTATATAAAATTTTTTTTTCCTCAATAATTATGGGTCTAAACATGATAAAATAAATAAACCTTATTAAATTAGGTCTTGTTCGCGGACAAGAAGTTGTGGATACAGGTTCACCAATCAAAATTCCTGTTGGTCCTGAATGTTTAGGACGTATTATCAATGTCATTGGTGAACCTATTGATGAACGAGGTCCAATTAAAACCAAAAAATTATCTCCAATTCACGCCGATGCACCAGAATTCGTTGATCAATCTACAGTGCCATTGGTTCTTGAAACTGGTATTAAAGTTGTAGATTTATTGGCTCCTTATGCTAAAGGCGGTAAAATCGGTCTTTTCGGCGGTGCCGGCGTCGGAAAGACTGTATTGATTCAAGAACTTATCAATAATATTGCCAAAGCCCATGGTGGTTATTCGGTATTTTGTGGAGTAGGAGAACGTACTCGTGAAGGCAATGATTTGTATCATGAAATGATTCAAACAGGCGTAATTCAACTTGAGGGTAAATCTAAGGCTGCTCTCGTGTTCGGTCAAATGAATGAACCACCAGGTGCACGTGCTCGTGTCGCTTTAACTGGTCTTACTATTGCCGAATACTTCCGTGACGAAGAAGGACAAGATGTATTACTTTTTATTGATAATATTTTCCGTTTCACCCAAGCTGGTTCCGAAGTATCTGCTTTATTAGGTCGTATTCCTTCCGCTGTAGGTTATCAACCTACCTTAAGGTATAATTAAAAACTTTGAGAATTTTTCTTTGTGATTATTTAATTTATAATTTCACATATTTTTAATTTTATAAAGTACTGATATGGGTGGTATGCAGGAAAGAATTACAACAACAAAGAAAGGATCAATCACTTCCGTACAAGCCGTATATGTACCGGCTGACGATTTGACTGATCCAGCTCCAGCTACAACCTTCAGTCATTTGGATGCAACTACTGTATTATCGCGTGGTATAGCCGAACTTGGTATTTATCCTGCTGTAGATCCCCTTGATTCAAAATCTCGTTTATTGGATCCTCGTGTTGTCGGGGAAGAACATTATAAAGTTGCTACAGACGTTCAAAAGATTCTTCAAGATTATAAATCTTTGCAAGATATTATTGCCATTTTGGGTATGGACGAATTATCAGAAGAAGATAAAGTAAATAAGTTGATCAACAATATTTAAAGGATCTTTAAAACAAGTTTCTTTCCCTTAACTCAATTATTTTAAATTACATTACTTAGCAAACTGTCGAACGTGCAAGAAAAATCCAAAGATTCTTGGTATGTACTAATTATGCTAAAATAATTTAAAAAAGAGGATGGTCCCATTAATTCTTTTTTATGAATGGTGTGATTTCAGAGTCAACCATTTGAAGTTGCTCAAGTTTTCACCGGTTTTGAAGGACGGCTCGTTAAATTAAAAGATACTATTCGTTCGTTTAAAGAAATCTTGGAAGGTAAATGTGACGACCTACCCGAAGGAGCTTTCTTTATGGTCGGTGATATTGAGGATGCCAGAAGAAAAGCAGAAGGTATGTACTATATCTGTCTCTTATACACATCTAGATGTGTATAAGAGACAGTCATAAAGGAATTGGAAAATCAATAATTGAAACAATTGATTTTAAAATTTTTATAAAGAAATATTTCAATCTTACCAAACAAAAAATATATATATACATCCACTTTTAAATTAACATTTGCGTAATTTTGTTAATAGTAAATTTATATGATCAGTTATATCAGTTGTTACACAGCATTATGATTAAATTAAATTAGGGAAATTTCTTTATTACTTAACAATTTACTATGAAAAAAAAAATATTTGTAGAGCCCCATGTGGTAAACCCGAAATATTATAAAACCGCGAATCAAAAAAAAAAGACCTTTGAACAAAAAAAAAACCAAAGCATTTAGTTCAACAAAAATTTAATCCAGGGTTATTTTTTACAGGTTGTACAACGGGATAACTTTTTAGCTATGCCAATTACGAACTCTTTGTAATTGATGCACTTGTATATATATATCTACTTTTAATTATTTCTAATCAAGTTCGATTAACTTCAGTCCGATTAGTTTTTTTTTTTAACATGTTTTAAAGAACCAAGAAACTCAAATATAAACTATCAACGTCTCAAAAATATTTTGACTAATCCAACTATACTACACTTTTAAAGGTTAATGTTTATTTATAAATTCGAACCACGATTATTAGATCGCATCATTATCACCAAACTAATCTTGGTATAGTAAACTTTCTCTTTTTTGACACAAAAGTAGCCAAGGTCTAAATTATTTTATTTCCCTTCCATAGACTTTCTTTTTGGACTCTCCTATTATACTATATAAATAGACATTTCGTTCATTTTCACTCTCTTTTAATTTCCTTTATTCATAAAAAAAATCCTCCGTTTGTAATTAAAGTATATTAATATATATATTAAATTTTTGTTTTTAAAAAAAAATTATCATAATTGTTTCGTAAGAGAGTATGGACACTACTGTTCTTACCCAAACTACTCAATTGTCACCAAATGATATTCATACAGGACTTGGTAAAGTGAAGCCGTATCATAGTGCCTCGGATTTATTTGATAATAGTTCAAGCGAATTGGAGGACCACTTACATTTCTCGACGATACCATTAGATCCTGATCCAATGTTTGGAGATATGCCATATGCTTCAAGTACAACAAGTAGTGGGAATGGTTCTTCAGTTATCACAAGTCCAGCACCATCTTACATTTCTCATTTACCCTCTAAATTAAAGAACTTTTTTAGACTTAATGGTACAAGTAAAAAGGACTCTATTAGTTCTTTAAACGCCAGCGGAAATAATTCACCTAATACAAACGGAGGATTAGGAGAAATGGGATCCTCAACTTCTCTTTCATCAATTTTGTCAAATAATAGTGAGAAAATTAATAATAGTGTTAATGGTTGTTCACGAAATGGGTCATCATTAAAAACTTCTAATGGAAAAAGTAGAACAATTGGACCATGGTTTTTGAAAGACGGAAATAATAATCAAAAATTACGTAGGGTAGCTTCTGCTCCTAACACAAAAGCATTAAATGAGAAAAACTCTTCTCAATCACAATCATCACAACAAATGTTAGGAAAATATAATAATAATGAAAATTTATCTGTTCCATCTAGACCTTTATCAGAAATGAAACGGTCAGGAACTTTTAAAAGAACTTATTCCTCAAATTCTATTAAAATTAAAAGAGTTGAAGTTGGTCCAAACAGTTTTCAAAAAGTTAAATTACTAGGCAAGGGTGATGTTGGCAAAGTTTATTTGGTTAAAGAGAAAAAAACTAATAAACTATATGCCATGAAAGGTAAATAAATAAAGTGGGGAAGCTTTTTAAATTCTTATTGGCAATTTATCTAAAAAGAATTTTAATTATTTAGTTTTATCGAAAAAGGAGATGATTAAACGTAATAAGATTAAGCGAGCCCTTGCCGAACAGGTTTGTTATAATCGAAATGAAAAAGAAAGAGTATAGTTCATTTATATTAATTGCTTTTAATGAATTCAGGAAATTCTTGCGACATCAAATCATCCTTTTATTGTTACATTATATCATTCGTTTCAAAGTGAAGATTATTTATATTTATGTATGGAGTATTGCATGGGAGGAGAATTTTTTCGTGGTAAAGTTTTTGGAAGTTAATTCTTATAATTTTAAAATAAAAACGAAAAGAAAGTAATTTATTTAAATAAGTATTTTTTTTAAGCCTTGCAAACAAGACCTGGTAAATGTCTTTTAGAGGAAGATGCAAAATTCTACGCAGCTGAAGTTATTGCAGCCTTAGAATATTTACATTTAATGGGATTTATTTACAGAGATTTGAAACCTGAAAGTAAGTAATTAATAATAATAATAATAATACTAAAGAATTAAGAAAATTAGAGAACTTTTTTTGATTATTCTTCTTCTATAAAATAGACATATTATTGCATCAGTCAGGGCATATTATGTTATCAGGTATGATACATATTTATAAATGATTTTCGTGTTATGAAATGTCTGTAAATGAATTAATATATCATATTATAAATAATTTTACTTATAACAGATTTTGACTTGTCAAAACAATCTCATCCCGCTAATATGCCCGGAATTGTAAAGAATAGTGGGACCAATGCTGTAAGCATATATTTAATTTATTAATATTGCTGTTATTTTATATTAAATTAATTTAATTATTTTATACTTATAGCCTCCATCGATAGATACTAAGTCATGTATTGCTAATTTAAGGACAAATTCGTTTGTAGGGACAGAAGGTATTATACATATAATCTGCGTATATTCGTATTAATATATTTACTTACATTTTATATATCATTTTCATTTTAGAATATATTGCCCCTGAAGGTAAATTAATTAATCTTATATATCATTTTTATGTAACATTAAATATTTAATTATTTGCTTTTTTTGTAGTTATTAAGGGATGTGGACACACAAGCGCTGTCGATTGGTGGACGCTTGGGATATTAATATATGAGATGCTGGTAATTAAATTAATAATATATGTGGCAGTTTTTTGATATATTTTAAATTATTTGACATTTTTTTCAAAAAAAAAAATTTATTATGATAGTATGGATTTACACCTTTTAAAGGTCAAAATCGGAATGCTACATTTTCTAACATATTAAGAAATGAGGTCTACTTTCCGGAAACAGCCAATGCATTGCAAGTATCAAAGTATGTATCTTAAACAAATTACATTTCCTCTTTTTTTTATGCAATATTAACTTTTTCTTCTCTTGCTGAAAACATTAAACAGTTTATGTAGATCATTAATTAAAAAATTACTTTGTAAAGATGAAAATAGAAGATTAGGATCAAAAGCAGGTGCATCAGATGTTAAAGCACATGCATTTTTTAAGAACACACAATGGGCTTTACTGAGACATGCTACTCCTCCAATTATACCCCAACAAAGTTTTGGTACTGATGCTATAAATTTTCGTAATATACAAGAAAGTGTTAGTTTAGATATGGAGGGTGAAAAGATTGTTGTTGAAGTTGAAGGTGAAAATCCCTTTGAAGAATTTAATAGCGGTAAGCACTTTTCTGGTTTCTCTTCTTTTTTTTTTTAAAGAAAAGGGAATGAGGAAGTAAATAAAAAAAATATATTCTTTTTTTTGTAGTAACATTACATCATGACGGAGACGATGATATTGTCGAGACATAGCTACTCTTAATATTCTTATAATTGTTTTTATGTACATGTAATAGACAAAACTCAAAAGGTTATTTTTTTACAAAACAATTTAGTTATTTTGCTTTTAAGGAAGTAATAATTTTAGGCTCTTATATAGAAATTTTTTTTTACTTTTATTTGGATGTAGTTTAAGGGGCTTTTCGTTGACTTTATTATATTTTACGCTGGACGTTTTATTTAAGAACTTTTTTAAAGAGAAATAATTAATTATTTGTTAATAAATACATTAAATAATAAATAATATTTTTTATTTATTATTTTAGATTATTAATATTTTGATTATTCAAAAGTTCATATTAAATAATTAGATTTCTAAGTCTTCTAAAGATTTATCAATTTGTTTTAACCTTAGAAATACATCACAACCATAATCATGTAAAGACACTAAATCAATTGAACCACCAAAATAGTTAGCGTAAATACGAGCTAATGGTAGTCCATAACCGAGTCCAGCAATAGGTCCACCTAAGCCAGATTGCATAGCCATTTTACTTACATTCGCTAAAATATTCTGACCCTCTAACCCTCCTATAATGTCATCTTGAGGAACAGTAGTATAAGAATAATCAAATATAGAAGTTAAATCTTTAGTAGGTACACCACCACCTTGATCTCTTACTCTAATTCCGATAAAGTTTTTACCTTTTGATATAGTAACAATAACAGGAGGATGTTTAGTTCTATTAACTTTTTGAGAATATTCTACAGTAGCTCTACAAGAATTTTTTAACAATTCGGTTATAATATATTCCAAATGTACCGGTACATAAGTAAATATTGTGTCAATTTGTCCATCAATTAATATGTTTGGTGCTGAACCATAATGTACTTCACATAACTCCTTAACAAAATTTGAACATGATTGAATTGATTTTTGTGGTTGTAATTTTGTATCTATTATACCTGTATAAGATGTATCATTTAAATTATTATGTAATGCTATATGTTGTTCTGCGATTAATCTTATACCTATACGTGCACTTATCATATCATCAAGAAAATTTTTTATATCTTCCGGTGACATATATTTTTTGCATTCTTGAAAACCTTTAAAAAAAAAAAGAGAAAGTGAAAATTTAAAAAAGTTTATGAAAAAATAATCCAAAAGAAACGTCATACCTTTGGCTAAAGTAGGGATATTTTCGGAATGAGAAGTAACCATTTCTTTTAACATTTCAGCAAATTTTTCATCAATTCCTTTATCACAAATATTTTCAGGAAATGATCTAATTAATTCAAATGAATTATAATATAATTTATAAATACTTTTTATATATGGATTTGTTCCTACTATGAAAGGTAAATTTTGTAATGCTTTTACTCTTCTTGCTAATCGAACTGGTAATTCTGAACGTGTATACTTTGCTGATTCAAGTAATGTTGAGGTATTATTTAAAGATGGTTGTACAAATCTCATTAATTCTTTTAATGTAACAGGTCTGATAGATTTTTCTGCATATTTTGTTGCTTTATCATCATAAAATGACACTACTACTTCTTGTTGTGTATTATATAGACGAAGTTGTGTACGAAAAGTGGGAAGATTGTTATAACAAAATTTACCAAGTTTGTTAATATTGTTAATACCAAATGTTCTTAATAATGTCATGTTCCAAATATTCAGTTGATCGACACTTTCAAAATTAACTTTCTGCACATGAATTTGATTGGAAGATTGAATTTTACAGTTACTGTACTTAAATTTACAAATGAACGAAGTATATATTCAATTTTGAAAATCTGATTAAATCTTTATCGGGAATAAATGAATTACATAGTCTATCACAAAAAGCACAAAAAGCACATGATTTTCGTGATTTTCATAAGAAATGCGTAACCAAATATATTAGACAAGCGTAATTTTTGATTTCTCGCTTCAAAAAAAATTACTCATTTATCATAATATTTAGCAATGTCAGAACGAGAAGCTTTAGCTTTACTTGCAAAAGCAGATAAAAAGGCGACAACTTTTGGGTGGTTTGGGAGTAATAAATTTGAAGATGCTGCTGAATTGTATACTAAAGCAGCAAATTCTTTTAAATTAGCAAAACGATGTGAGTATTACTTTATTTATATTGCATGTTATCTCTATTTACTATTATATATTAACTGTGAAGTAATAAAATACTTTATAAAAGTTAGTTTTTTTTAAACTTGATTGTATAAATTTATTAAATTTATTATATTTATAGGGAAAGAAGCCGGTGATGCGTTTTCAAAAGCTGCGAATATGCAAATACAACTTAATGAACGCGATGAAGCAGCTTCAACTTTCATTAGTGCTTCTAAATGTTATAAGAAATGTAATTTCGAAGGTATGTTTCATTTTATTCTTATACTCATTGTATATAGCTGGTTGATCTAATTATGTTATTTATGTTATAGATGCTATCACATCTTTAAAGCGTGCAATTGAAATTCTTACTGATAGAGGTAGATTTCAAGCAGCAGCTGGACATCAAAAAGAAATTGCTCAAATTTATGAATCTGATCTAGTTGATATAGAGAAAGCAATGCAAGCTTATGAAATTGCAGCAGAATGGTATGCTGGAGAAGAGGCAAATGCGTATGTATTTTTAATATTTAATTAACGTATTTATATATAATCAAATATTTGGACTAATTTAATTCCAATATTTAGTCTCGCGAATAATTGTCTTCTTAAAGTAGCAACTTTTGCTGCTTCATTGGGTCAATACGATAAGGCCATTGAAAAATTTGAACAAGTTGCATATGCTAGTCTTGATAATCAACTTACCAAATGGTCACTTAAAGAATATTTTTTAAAAGCTGGATTATGTCATATCGTTAATGGGGTAACTTTCTTTTCTATGTAAAAGAAGAATCTGTTCCGAATATTCTTTATATTTTTTATAACTTCGATTTCCAATTTTTTTCTAAAAAGGATTATATAGGGGCCGCTAATGCAATTGAAAAATACAAAGATATGGATGTGTCTTTCGCCGGTACTCGAGAATATCAATTTCTTCAAGACATACTTTCCGCAGTCGAGAATGGTGATGTTGAAACCTTTACTAATAGAGTAGTTGATTTTGATCAATTGTCTAAATTGGATAATTGGAAAACTAGTATTCTGTTACAGATTAAAAAAGGAATTCGAGAACAACCAATTTTGACTTGAATAAATATCATTTAAAGACATTTAAAATTAGGATTTATATCAACAGCAAAGAGTTAAAATAGAATCGGTCAATTTTGTCGGAGCATTTGGATTTAAACAACGCATATTTTCTAAATAATTTTTTTTTTCTTTATTTTGTAATTTATAAAAGTGCTGATGTTTGATACGTTAGTCTTTTTTTTTATTTTATTTTATTAGATAAATGTATCACCTATTTATTATGAACATTGAACATTGAACATTTCATTTATTTTTAGTTTCTTTACATAATTAAAAATTTTTATATTGGTGACTTTCAAGCTTTATCTATTGTGAATAAGTGATACATTAATACGGTTGATTGTAATTTTTCGATAGAGATATCTCCAAAGAAACTGGAAAGAATAAATTTACGAGTCTTAAAACTTTTAGCAGAAACACAATTTCAGTATTTTAGAAACTTTTTTGGTAAGGTTTTTATTAGTATTTATAAATAAATATATTTATGAAATGTTACAATTTACTGATAAAACCTCTAAATTTTATTATTTCTAACCAAGTAAACTATTATTAATATAGCTCTTTAATATAACTCTCTTTTAAATAATATTTAGAATTATATTCATATGTCTATTTCAATAACTAAAAAAAAAGTTTGTATTAGTTTATTATACACACAATTCACAAATTTATTAACCTCAATAAATAAGAGTTACCGATAATGTTCCGATTTGAAAGGACCATTAATATTGATACCAAGATATTCAGATTGAGCAGGAGTAAGCTTAGTAAGTTTAACTCCTAATTTTTCAAGATGAGCAGCGGCAACTTCTTCGTCAAGTTTCTTTGGCAACATATGAACACCAAGTGGATAAGAAGCGGTATCAGTCCAGAGAGCGATTTGCGCCAATACTTGGTTTGTAAAAGAGTTACTCATTACGAAACTCGGATGTCCCGTTGCACAGCCTAAATTGACCAATCTACCTTCGGCAAGAAGAATTATATGACGTCCGCTCTTTAAGGTGAAACGATCGACTTGAGGTTTAACGTTAACATGATCAACAGCATTTTGTTTTAGCCAAGCAGCATCAATCTCAACATCAAAATGTCCAATACTATATTAAATTTATATTAGCATTAAATGTAGATATATGAACTTCTCATCGACAGAAATACTTTACTTACTTGCATACAATAGCATCGTCTTTCATTTGTTCAAAATGCTTTCCTACAATAATATCGCGGTTACCTGTGCTAGTTACGAAAATATTACCTTCAGTGCATGCTTCTTCCATCGTTGTAACTTCAAATCCTAAAATACATATAAAAGAATTTGCTAGTAATAAAACTTGAACAAAACCGATTATTGAAAAGTTTTACCTTCCATGGACGCTTGCAAAGCGTTAATTGGGTCAATCTCGGTAATAATAACACGGGCACCCATTCCGCGAAGAGCTGCTGAACAACCTTTACCGACATCACCATATCCTGCAACCACTGCTACCTTGCCAGCAATTTGTACATCAGTGGCACGTTTGATACCATCTACGAGGGACTCACGACAACCGTAAAGGTTATCAAATTTGGATTTTGTGACGGAGTCATTTACATTTATAGCAGGCACCTTTAATTTTCCTTCCTTGAGCATTTGGTACAAATGATGTACACCAGTAGTTGTTTCTTCTGAAACACCCTTGATATCTAGAGATTAATTCATCAAAATAAATCCAACATCTCTTAATAATATGATCTAAGCAAAATCTATATTACCTTTTAAGAGTTCAGGATGTTTATTGTGAACTAACGAAGTTAAATCACCACCATCATCAAGGATCATATTAAGAGGTTTTCCATCCTTAAAGGCAAAAAGGGTTTGTTCAATACACCAAGTATATTCTTCCTCAGTCTCACCTTTCCACGCAAAAACAGGCACACCAGTGGCAGCAATGGCAGCTGCGGCCTGATCTTGTGTGGAGAAAATGTTACAGGAACTCCAGGCGACTTCAGCACCTAGATGAGTGAGCGTTTCTATCAAAACAGCCGTTTGAATTGTCATATGCAAACAGCCGGCAATTCGTGCTCCTTCTAAAGGGTTGGTGTTACTGTATTTTTTTCGTAAAGTCATAAGTCCTGGCATTTCATTTTCAGCAATTTCGATTTCTTTGCGACCCCAAGCAGCGAGCGAGATATCAGCTGTAATATTAGTGTAGCATTCATTACTTTTAATAAATTTTAAAAAAGAGGTAAAAAGTTTCAGCTTCAACACTTACCAACTTTAAAATTAGTCATTTTTTTTACTGGAAAAAAAAAATCGGTTTAAGCTAATAGATCACAAAATCTATATTTATATATTGGTTCATCTAATTTTTTTTTCTCCGCAGAAAAATGTTGGATTAATAATAATAATATGGCTCACCAATATGCTAGTAATAATAATATAACACGTTTCGTATAAAACCAAAAAACGAAATGATTATCCAATCACAGAATCAAAGATTTGTTATTTTTATTGGTTAAAAGAAAAAAAAAAAAATTTTCCATAGAAAAATGTTTTTATTACGAACAGTACTAAGATCTCGAAATTTTATTAGGCAGACTTCTTTTTCTACATATGCAAAACATAACTTGAAGCCTTCAAATTTTCGTTTCGGGTTCAGTTCTGGAAAGGTTTTCCATCTTTTTATAGTATTGCAATTTTTTTTTTTTTTTTAAAAAAAACAAGAATTCACAATCTTTTTTACTATGTTTATAGGTTAAATTTTCTACTTCTAGTACTATTGCTACGGCTATTGGTTTAGCTGGCGTATCTTATTGGTATGTGTACGATAAAAACATTGCGTTTGCTGACGCTTTGCCAAAAAGTGTAGAGTCTGTAACAACCGGTATTCAGAAAACGAATTTACGTCATTTTCGAGTTTTATTTGTAATAAATAATATGATTAAATTTATTCGTTATTAAGAGGAACCCGAGAGTGGAGTACATATTCCAACGTATATTACATTACATGACGGAACAAAAGCAAGGCTTATAGGGTTAGGTATTAGAACTGTTTCATTCTTAAAAATTAAGGTTTATGTTATTGGAATGTATATTAGTGAAGATGATATTGATGTATTGAAAAATTGGAAGGTAAATAATGAATGTTTGCGAGAATCTTATAAGGAAAATTTTCTAAAGTTAATCTTTATTAAGGGATATGATAAGGAAAAGTTTATGTCAGAGAATGATGAATCGATGACCTTATCAATATTGGATCTACCCATAGTTATGGCAATTCGTATTGAACCTGTACGAAATACAAATGGACATCATTTGCGTGATGGTTTTACGCGCGCGATTACGCACAGGATGCAAGATGGATACATGAGTGAGGAAGATGCAGAGAACGTTTTAAAGGCCATAAAAGAACTTAAAGCAAAATTCCCCAAGTCAGTAGTAAAAGCCGGTACGGCTTTAATTTTGAAAAAGGAAAAAAATGGAACCTTAATTATTGAATATGAGGTATATAATTTATGTGAATTACCCGTAAAAAGCTTATTTCAATCGTAAGTTCTATTAAATTCAATTATTATTCAGGGAAAAAACATGGGAATAGTGAATAATATTTGGTTAACAAAGAATATATTTATGAGCTATTTGGCAGCAAAAAATCCTATTTCTGAAAAGGTGAGTTTGGGAAATGGAAGTCAGATTATAATCATATATTAAAAAGTAAATTTATTTATAGGCAAAGAGAAATATTGCTGATGGATTTGATGAATTATTAAAATAACAAAGGCAAGTTGATATATCGTATTGGTGAATAATAATTATTCATAATTGATTATATTCTGCTGGTGGTATGATGTATGATTAAGTACTGTACTTTTCACAACTCCAAATTAATTTCATTTAGGTAAACAATTAAATTTTAAATTCCTCTTTTTCTCTTTTTTTTTGGTACTGGGAGCACCTTAAAGAATCGCTATCAAAGTAACACAAACGGAGCATTAATCCTCGGATTACTAGCTCTTTTATTATTACTTTGGGGAAAGTCCTCGGACACATGACAGAAAGTGTCGCCTATAATGAGGTATAACCAATTCGCACTTCATGGCCTTCTTTATGATCGAAGAAGAGTTCTTACTCGAGATTGGGAGGTCGCGAATTTGGTTTTGTTGGTCATAGCACAGTTATGCGATTGTAACTTCTTTCCGTAAAAAAGAAAAAGGTTATAACACAACGGGGCTTACTCTTAGGGTGTTCCCACCCAATTTTTTTACAAATTTTTTAAATCTATTTTAATAATGCAATACAATTTACACCCGATAATATAATAGTTTTTCAAAGTGAAACATTTTGGTTACAAAATTATTTGATATTGGAATTTGTAATATTAGTTGTGAATTTTGTTTATTTAACTATACTTGATGATAAGATTGTGATAATAGGTACTCTTCCCAACTAATTTTTCCGCTTGAAAATGAATAAATAAATAATATATTAATATTGTAATTTAATTCTCAAAATAAGTTCAATAAAGACATACTCATTGTTCATATCATCTTCTAACAATACATGATCGATCATTTCAACGATTTCTTCGAGTTTCAGTCCTTCCGAATCACCAAATTCATCATCAATAAAAGCTTCACGTAATTCATGTCCATCTAAATATCCATCGCGATTAACGTCATGTATAGAAAATAAATAATATAAATCATCATCATCTGTCATCTCCCCAAAATTTTGTCCCGGAATGTCTTTTAAATGATTTTTTACGTGTCTTATCGAATAAAAAAAATGAACAAGGAAATAAATAAGTAATTCAGTTTGTTAAATATAAATGATTTGGCATGTCTACCTACTGTCTAATTTTTGCGTGGTCACCGTAGTTGTTGTGTTCTCCTTGATAATTTATATAAGTATTCGCTAAGCTAAATAGTGGCATTAGTGCTAACAATAATAAAAAGAAATTTATTAAAAAAAATTTGTTCTTTACAAATGAGAACATTTTCAAGGAAAAAAGGAAAAATCTGACAATCTGTTTAAAGTATTCAAGCCTTATCCAATCTAAGATTGCCATTTGTTCCCATAATCGGTAATACGATATCAGATATTGTTGCGGGACAAGGATATGCCATAGATATGAAACAGCCGGGGCAGGACATAAGTAGTTAGCAATATTAGTATGATGTAGTTAGTATATATAAAATGATAAAATGAAGGACGACTCGAGATTAGTTAAACCAAGTCAAGCTAAATGGTAAAAAATTTTCATATTCTTTATTCTTGATACTTAAATTTATCACTTTTAATTAATATTATTTTTTATTAAACCATTTTATTAAAAATTATTAATAATTATTTAGTATTAACTATTTTTAAGAAAAATATTATTAATTATGTATATAATATAATTCGGGATTTCAAAAGAAACGTTCATTTCAAAAAACCGGTGATCTCGAAGAAATTGTAACTATGAAATGTAAATGATTGTGATACAAAATTGCCATTGTTTACTAAAGAATATTTTAATCTTTACTGTTCATAAGTACAATTTTGTTCTGTTTTTCTAAAACATCATTCCCTAAAGTAAATTCATATCAATTATAATAACCTATACAAAACTACGAAACTTTAAAACTATTACCAAAATCACTTACAATGGAAAATATTTTAAACACAAATTTTTCCTATAATCCAACCTGTTATTCAACCCTTATTATTAATGGTTATCAGTACAAATCTCCTGACCTACCAATATTATTTGAATTTTATTGTTCTCCATATGATTCTTCCTTAAAGATTATAATATACTTAATGAAAAATAGGAAATGTAAGAAGAATAAATGTTTCAGAAATGAAGATATATATAGATATGATTTTCAGAAAAAATAAATAACTGGATAAAAATTTTAATCATCAAGAATAGGAATATAATGTAGCAAGTATAAGGAAGAAGAGAATAGATATCTAGTATCTACTGTAATTTCACCACCAATGACTGGACAATTGCAAAAATCTTCAGCAAAGTCAGTAGATTAACTTTTACTACCAATAACGCAACTGAACAGATGTAAACAATTGTTGGCCATCAAGCAACTTATAATTTCATCACCAATAACTAATAGACATAAAATTATGGTGTTTTTTAGGTAACCAAAAATACAAGAAAAGGTCTTACTGCCAATAACTGAACAGTCACAAAAACTTTTAGCACAGTTGTACCTCTTAGAAAGTATGTTTAGTTTTTATAGTTGATGTGATCTAATTGTTGAGTTCAAATGTCAGGATATAAGTGACCAATTACAATTCATATTAATCATTTAAATTGAAGCCAATCAGACCATACTGTATATTCTAATTACATTATATAGATTAAATTACCATAATTTTTACTGTACTTGCTAAATATGATCGCAATATTAAGATCAAATAAATACTTGCAATTTTCTACCTAAAGAATTAAAAAACATTATAGCTGATTGCAAAATTGTAAGACCACCTTATGATTTTTTAATTTGAAAATTTGATATTTTGAATTTTTCAAAAACCAGTAAAAAATCAAGTTAAAAATCTGTTTATTCAACTCCTTAAATAAAAATAGAAATATATTATATGATTCAATATAAATAAATTACTTTAAAATCTTTATTAATTTTAAGGAATTAAAGTTATTACCAAAATAGGTATTTAATTTTACTAATTCTTGAAAAATTCAAAATATCAAATTTTTAAATTGAAAATCATAGGGTGGTCTTACAATTTTGCAATCAGCTGTAATGATTATTTTAAAAAAAAGTAAAAAAAGTGGAAACTTAAAATTGGAAATTAAAATACTATCTTAATTACCATTTAGAAAATAATGTTATCTTAATCTAAACAATGGTTTATAAAGATTAGATAAAATAATTACTAAAAATAAATTATAAAAATATTTAGGTTGTATATACTCTTTTTTTGTACCAATTTATTATTAGATATCAATACTTTTAAAAGTTCATCTATTCATATTATATAGACTGGTATACTGATTTCTATAATTGAAACTTTGACTTATAGTTTACTAATAGAATTCAACAACTAAAAACGACTATATTATTATCTAAAAATAGCCGAATTTCTGTGAAAAATAACAAGTAAAAACAAACAAATATAAAATAACAATAAAGCAAATTAAGTGGAAAAGCAATTAATGAAATATCTATAATTTTTAAATTTAAAATGGTTTAAATTTCAAACCTATATTGTTTATATTATCTATACAATTTATTTTTAATTTACTTTTACTATACATGCCACCCAAATTATTTTGGACTGCCGTAATTATAAGTAAAATCCCAAATTCAATTATGGCATCCCAAATTATTTTGGCACTTTATATAGTAAATTATATATAAACCGAATGAATTATGGCATCCCAAATTATAATTATGGCATCCCAAAATAATTTGGGCAGCATGTATAACTTTTACTCTATTATAACATAAAAATATATCACTATTAAGCCCATTAAGTAATATTAGAAAATTTATTTAAAATTTTATAAATTCTAAAAATTTGTTTAAAATCCAATACTATTAGTATTGAATTCTTAGATTAAAGTTATTTGTTTAAATTTTACCAATATCTTATGATTAATTTTTTTAAAATTTTACTATAGCTTTATTATAATTTTAGTAAATTTTAGCAGCTTTAGCCTATATAATAAATTTTGTCAGATTTTGCTTTTTTCTAGAATTTTGCCAAAGTTTTATTATTTTAATATTTCACAATTTGTTAAAAGTTAAAACTCTTTAGTTTTTATTCAGACATATAAACTGAATGAAAAAGAAAATTAGAAAGATTAAGAGAATAAAGAGTGGGTTCCATGATCACCAGACATTGAAGATAGAGCCTTTATGGCTAAGATGACCCATTACTAAACGAAGTCTACCTACAGAGTCAAACGATCACTTGACAGTGTACACGTACTGCACATGTAGGGTATGGTTTAGGACACAACAATTCATCAAATAAAATTGTTCAAATTAGAAATTTAATAAAAATATTTTGGATGCATATATTTAAAATAACTCAATATACAGATGGTGCTCAAAATTATCTGGCCACTTCTTAAAGTGAAACAACTTATGTATAATATTGTAAAAATAAAACTTTAATATTTACATTGTGTCTTAATTCATTAATTTAAATAAAAATTTAATAATAAATTCTATCTCTATTTGCAGCAACAGCTGTTTTAATTCTATGAAATATACTATTAATTATTATTTATAAATCTTATCTAGAAGGATATCTTTCAATGCATTCTTAATGTATTTTTCAAGTAAATTATTCAAATAATATAGTAAGACATGTAGTGTAAAATTTCATATTTTATAGCATAGTTTTGTACAATAATTTAGATTCTGCAAATATAATATTTAGTATAAGTTTGTAATTTCGCATATTTAAAGTTTAAAATCATATATCAAGGATAACTTGGTATCCAGTTATCAACATTTAATGAAATTTATATCATTGGATTCGTCTCATTGAGAGGAATCGAATGGTAGTAATTATATATTTCTGGAATTAATATTTGATGTGCAATTATAAAATACTTCAAATGTTATTTTCTATAATATCTTTTGATCCAGTGATTGTATGAAATCGATTTATGGCTTATTAGATTCGTCTCGATGAGACGATTCAAATGGTGGTAAGCACACAATAATAGGGCCAATATTGACGAAGTTATAGTATTTTCAATCCATTTAAGGCCTTTTTGAAAATCCGTTATTTTAATGAAAATTTTGTGTTGTGTATTATTTAATATTTTAAAAAAAATTAAAAAAATTAGAAAAATATAAAGCACTTTATGTGATTATAAATAACAAAATCACATGCTATTTATATTACATTAACATGTGATGATCTACATAATTTTAGCTAAACAAACTGGCCGGATAATTATGGGCACCATCTGTAATTTAATTGTTACTAACTTAAACTACAAAATGACGTTGAGATTATTCTGATTGGTGATCTAGATCAAAAGTTATTAGCCTGCAAAGTTTGGTATTTTCTTAATAAACAGTAGGATTTGAAACATCTAATTCTGGCCAAAATTTGACAAAATTCTATAATTTAGGCCAGAACTATGACTGGCTGAGAGGTAATGCAAATCATAAAATTTTTTCCCATAGCACGACTAAAGAGACAAGCACAACACTGTCAAAAAATAGCTAAAAAAAGAAAAAAAGCAGTGAAAAATTTGTTCCAGATTTTATTTTTGAAAATATTGATGATTAATAAAGTAAAACATTTTCCGATATGGTTTGATTTTTAACCAATTGCAAATTAGTATTATATATATCACGTGATTTTTTAAAATCTCAATTTGAAACAACTTGATGATTTGTTGTGTCCCCAACTATACTACCGGTATGACGAGTGGTTTGTAGTTTAATTATATTAAAGTAATTATTAGGGAATTTTACTTTGTATATATTTTCTTTATTTTTTACTTTAATAAAACTGCAAATGCGCTGTGAAAAAAAAAAGAAAAAAAAAAGAGAATAAAGAAGTCATCAACAAATATGAATCCAATTCTAAAGATGATGAAATTAAATAGTAAAGAAAACTGGTTCTTAATTTTCTAATAATAATCCAAAATAAAGAATTAAAAGAATAGATACAGCTTATATTTACAGATTAAGTAAAAATTAATTCTTTTTCTTTTACATTTATATATTATAAATTAAATATTTTTTTTATTACAATTTATACACAATAGTATTCTGATTAAAATTAATTGTCATAAATAATGATTATTATATACAGTCAAAGTTCTCTATAACGAATTCCACGAGCCAGAGATTAAAATTCGTTATAGTAAGAAATTCGCTATACTAAAAGCCATTTTATTATAAATACTAAGATCTGTACCTGAACTTTTCTTCATTATAGCAAATTATTCGTTATATAAAAATTCGCTATAGAGAACTTTGACTGTATCAAATTGCTATATTATAAATATAAACTG